TAACATTCAAACTTGACAGTCCTTAATCCACGGCCCATTGGTGAATGTAGAGGCCCATCAGCATAATAAATGAGCATACCCATGCTGTTTGTCCTAGTTGTGTTCAGAAACGTTCAGAAACAGGTGGTAAATGTGGTAAGGATTTTTTCCCATAAATTTTAGATCCTTATGGGAGTGTAGATGTGGAAAAAACATTCAGAATTCTCCGAGCAATACTTGAAGGGGTGGACCATATCCATTCCAGAGGAATTATGCACAGAGACCTCAAGGTAAGTTCTTTGGATTTGAGTTGCACTTTCTTTAATTTCATGAGGCTGATTTCAAGGATGAGCTTGAATTTAATTAACCGGTGACACATGTAGCGAGGTCAGCTTGTACAGTTTACTCTGTGGAGTCGTTATGGATATCAGGATTTGAGCCAGGGAATGTCATCTTTGATGGCCAATCCCAGCATCTGTAGACAAAGTCAAATTTATTAGGCATCTGTCAGATATAATCTGAACCCCTCTCTATAGTGCTGATGTACATAGATTCTACATATATGCAGAAGGGTCAGGGTTTGATAGGAGAGGTGCAGTAGTACAATCCTCTGGGAGTGATACTCTGGAATCAGCAGTGTGTTGGGATGGAATCCTTGCTTATGCAGTTCAATTCAACTCAATTTTATTTATAAGCACATTTCATATTGCATTGTTTCAAAGTGTTTTACATTATCCCTGCCCAAGGCCTGCAGTGAGCAAGCCAGAGGCCACAATGGCAAACTCCCTAAAAGGAAGAGCCTTTGGGAGGAACCAGACTCAAAGGGGGAGCCCATCCTCCAGGGGCTGGCAGAAGTAGTGAAATGAGCAAGATGGCAAAGTCCCTAAAAGGAAGAGCCTTTGGGAGGAACCAGACTCAAAGGGGGAGCCCATCAGAACTAGTGAAATGAGCAAGATGGCAAAGTCCCAATTCACACTTCAAATTTTAGTATTTGAGTCTCAAAGCTGGGGGCAGGCAGTTGATAGCAGGCAGGTGCTGGTGTTGCTTCTAATGGCAGGATGAACAGTGGTACAGCAGCAGGGCATACAGGAGAGACGTCACCGGGACAAGGGTGGGCAGGCCGGAAAGACGCCACAGGTAGTAGAGACGTCGCAGGCAGCAGGGTAGGCAGAATAGCTTGATATTTTGGGGTATCCTAGCAGCACAGCCCAGGAGGGGTAGGGGAATTAAAATGTTCAATTAGTTGTGTGCAAGTAGGGGAGACTAGAGGCAGTGCAAACAGGTAGGTGAGTGCAATATGTAAGCTCCAGCAGACATGACTAGGGTAGTATAAATAGGAGGGAGAGGCAAGTGGGAAGGCAGGCATGGGGAGTCCCTGAAACATCAGCACTCCAATTCCACGAGGGGGTGTGAAGCTAGAGTGACAGCACTGACGGTTCAGTTCATCCAAAGCCAATGGCACCGATCCCCACCCAGCTCTACACCTCACACTATGGGTCGAACTGGGAGTGAGCAGTTAGCTAGAGCTTGAACCACAGTCCCTATAAACTAGACGAAATGTGTGTCTTTAGTCTAGACTAGAATATTGAGAGTGAACCTGAATCTTGCACATCTGCTAGAAGATTATACCACAGCTAGGGAGCTCTATAAGAGAATGCTCTGCAGCCTGCCGTAGTTCTTTCTACTCTAGGTACTAATAGATATCCTCCTCCTTGAGATTAAAGCAAGTGAGGAGGGTTGTAAAAGATTATAAGTTAGTAGCAGTATTTTGTAGTCAGTCTGAGACTTAACTGGAAGCCAGTGAAAGAAGTATAGAACAGGGCTAATATGATCACATTTTTTAGGTTTTGCAAGAACTCTGGCTGCTGCATTTTGTACCAGCTGAAGTTTATGTAAGGATCCAGATGGGCAACTAGAAAGGAGAGCATTACAATAGTCTAGTCTGGAAGTTATAAAGGCATGTATTTATTTTTCTGTATCGTGAAAGGAGAGCATCTTACAAAGCTTAGTTATGTTCAGCAGATGGTAGAATGCAGTTCTAGTAATACTTCATATGTGAGCATCAAAACATAGATCTGAACCAACCAGGACACCAAGATCTCTGACCACTGTGTTAAGCTGAGTAGGAAGACCACCAAGGTTGAGGTTGTCAAACTTATTTCGAGCAGCCTTAGGTCCAGCTAGCAGTACTTCTGTTTTTTCTGTGTTTAACAAGGGATTTTTTTGCCAACCAACACTGGATATCTGGTAGACAGTCCTCTAATCCAGAGAGCTGCAATGCATCATCTGGTTTAACAGATACATAAAAAACTGTGTATCAGCAGCATAACAATGGAACCCAACATCATGATTTTTGATAATGTTACCAAGTGTGATAATGTTAGTTGCTCCATGTGAACTCCTAAGAACCAGTACATATCTTCCTTCCCATGATACATTTGATTTAAATTTCTACATGGCAAAGTATATCACTTGTAATATTTTAAGAATTACAAACCAGGTTGTCCCAGTTATCCATGTACTTTACATATGTGGAGAATCCATCCATTTTCCACTGCTTATCCGGGGTCAGGGGCAGCAGTCTTAAGCAGGGATGCCCAGACCTCCCTCTCACCAGCCACCTCCTCCAGCTCCTCCGGGGGAATACCAAGGCGTTCCCAGGCTGGCTGAGAGATATAATCTCTTCAGCGTGTCCTGGGTCTGCCCTGGGGCCTCCTCCTAGTTAGACATGCCTAAAAACACCTCCCCAGAGAGCCGTCCAGGAGGCATCCTAGATAGACATCCGAACCACCTCAACTGGCTCCTTTTGATGCGGAGGAGCAGCGGCTCTACTTTGAGCTCCTCCCGAATGTCTGAGCTTTATTTTACTTGTTGAGAAGAGAATTTTTTTCAGAACATTTATTATTTTTCCGAACATAATCAATGGCTAACATATTTTTGGTCAAGATTGTAAAACAGTAAGGATCTGAAGGGCAAGTCATTTAAATTACAGCTGTCTGAGGTATCATTGTGTAAATAACCCGAATTAATATATATTTACATATCGTTTCATAAAGGGGATGAATTATAACTCGTAGCTTCAAGCTTATCTAGGCTAAGCCAGCATCCACAAACATGAAGCGAGGCGGGGCTTTAACCAGTAGGCCTTTTTATCTTTTCCCTACAGTTTTTTACCAAGTCATGTTCACTCGGAAAGGTAACCGAGGTTATTCAAAACCATGTTAACTAACCTAAATCACTTTTTTTTTTCCAGAGTATTGCTTGGCCAGATATTTCAAATGTATTTTCAAGCAATGCGCCAAGATCTACTCTTAATGCATAAGTATATCAACACAGCATTTATGATTACCTGTTTGTGGATGGTGATGCATAACATATGTAGTTTTTATATCTGAACTGTTTGTTAACAAAATGGGGTTAATAGGTTTGTGGATGTTAAACTTCTCCTTTAGCTATTGGAACATGCAACTGAAGTTCCCGTTAATCTTATTCAGTATGGTGTCACACAATTAGTGTTATTCTGGTCTATGGTTTGGTTATAATTTGAACAACACCTGATATGAAATGATACTTTAATATAACCGATCAGACAGACTTTCCGACATGAAACATTCAGCGCAAAAAGCAACAAATTTGCAAAAGATGACCATAATGAAGATAAAAGTTTTAAACCCATTTCATTACCATATCAAAGCTCATGATCACTTGTTACTACTCTGTGGTGCATTTCCTTATTTAATTTCAATAATGACATGCTTTGTTTTTCAGCCTAGAAATATTTTCCTACATGGATCTGACTGCCACGTGAAGATCGGAGACTTTGGGCTTGCATGCAGAGACATAATAGTAGATGCTCAAGATTGTGAGCCCAGTGCCAGTTGTAAGATCTCTATTAAAAATCTCTTTTTAATTAACCAGTTCCTAATAGATTATACATTTGTGTGATGTATTATTGTTGAGATAGCGTCAAACCACATAGCTAACAATAACATTGCTATTAAGGTTACTTCTCTATTATTAAATTATCAACATTTTGACAGGCGTGCCATGCCTATTCCAGGAGAACTGGGGCAGTGACCTTTACAACAGCAGCACTGCAATATCATTTTCTCTTCCAGGTTCCTTTCACACCACTGGAGTAGGAACATTTGTATATGCTGCACCAGAACAACTAAAGGGCTCCAACTACGATTCAAAGGTATGGCCTTTATATCTTTAACCACAAGGTTTTATTTAGACAATAATAACGAGCATGCAAATTGTCCTACAATGTAAATAGTTATCTGCCTCTGTCCTCTCCAGTCTGATATGTACAGCATGGGGATAGTTGCTGTTGAGCTCTTCCAGCCTTTTGGGACCGAGATGGAGCGTGTGCATACACTGGAGAATGTCCGCCGAGGGAAGGTCCCCAGTGGCTTCTCAGAGCGGTGGCCCACACTTAGCGGTTACATCAGTCAGCTGACCAGCCCGGAGCCCTGCCAAAGGCCCAGTGCAGCCCACCTACTGCAAAGTGAGCTCTTTGATGGCAAAAGCAGGGTAAGTCTCCTGATTTCCCAAGCTTAAAGTGAGAAGACTGCTTTGATGTAAAGTAAATTTTACCCAATTTGGAAGATTTTAATTGAAGACTTTAAAGTGCATTTGAGTCCTTTAGTAAGTTTAGTAAATATGAATTTAAACTGCTGGGAATCCTGTAAATCTGTCCCATAACATCCATCTAGAGTGGCTTGTCTGTACATAAATTTAAAGAGGCCGAGTGAATGGCAAGCATTTTAAAATGAAACACTCAAATTTTATTATGATTGTTTCATGACAGGCATAAGTCGGTCAAACATGAATAGTACTACTTTGCTTACCATAAAAATTCTGTTATACAGTAGATGATTTGGTGTAGAACACTTAATATAGAGCACATTCACTTTTTAGTCTACATTAATTTCCTGAATGTCAGTGTCACAAGAATTTCATTGTGAAATTTCAGTACTTGTTTAATATGCTATTTGTTATATTCAAATTTTTTGTAAATTTTTGTTTACCTTCTTAGAATAATTTGTTTGTTTTTCTCAGAGAAAAAACTGTTAAAATTGTTATTGTTGTTATGAAAGTGCAGTTAGGGTTTTCAACAGGATTAGCATTCTTTAAGAAAAGTATTTGACTAATTCACACTAACATCTAGACCAGTTTTTTCCAACCTGGTTCTCTGGAACCTATCAGGAGCTGGGGGGAGCAAAAACATGTACTGTAAGGGGGATCCCCAAGGACTGGGTAGGGAAACATTGATCTAGACCAAATTTTATCAGTAGCAAGCATTACAGGGACAGTTAGGGTCAGAAACCCAAAAGAATATAGCATGCTGCATGTTTCCTAATGTCAGCTTGACAGTGTTGGAATATTCTGTTGCTGACATGTAATCATTTTCCTTTGTATGTTCAAAATATGCTGCAAAGAAAAATGACCTTGATGTTGTTTTGGATCCTCTTGACTGAATGAAAACCAACGCAGAAACTCTGTGATGTGGTGTCTCATGCATTTTGCCCTTTAAGGTTATCCATAATTTGCAAAGGAAAGTTGAGGAGCAAGAGGAAGAGATTATGCAGCTGAAGAAGCAAATCAGTGAACTGCAGATCACTCAGGATGCATTACAACAGGCGGGTCCAACCTGAACAGAGCCTGTAAAACTCCACTCATTCATTTTGTTTACTTATGTAAATAATTTAGTGCAAATGGTTCTACATATAACATTCTCTGTATTTAACTATGTGCTTTATTACCTTTTAAAAAGTGTAAAATGTGAAACTATTCACCTTGTAATAATTTTTCTTTTGCTTCCGTGATTAAAAAAAAAACCTCATTCGGTGCAAGTTCTTTGCCTATGTGTTTTACTTTTTCGAACCACACGACGGCGTTTGTAGCATGCGTAGACCAAACAATTTTCGCAGTCCACTTTCAATACAGTATAGTAGTCTTTCGATTGTTGCAACTGAAAACCTGATGATGTCTAATTGCATATTTACATAACCAAAGCAGAAAATTATAATTACCTAGATACGTTTTAGTTGTTCAAGCTTTGCATAGACTGCGACTAAATTAAACGAAAAAAAATTCACATTACAGAAACAAATGCGATATCAGTTTTTAATCCTTAAAGATACATTTTGCTCAAAACCATCGTAAAATTGATCGCTAACTTATTACAAGATACGGTTTTTTTTTTCTTTCCTGAACAATGAAAATACTTAACTGCGATCTTGACAGCCGTAAAAGGCTTTACCGGCTACTGCTCTCATCTGCGGATTTTTTTTTCCTGACATCTGGTAATTTCAACACTTTTCTACATTAAATTAAACTCATATGCGTTTCGTATCATTGCAACACAAACCGATATCTACGACTCAAGTACCTCGCACCATCTTGCTAGTACTCCGTTCCCGATCGTTTCACCAATTCTTCCGTCTCGGAACAGCAGCAGAAACTGCTTTAATACGCAGATACCCGGATGTACCCGTGGGGGAATGTACGTCATTGTTCACCGCCGGACGCCCGCTGGATAGGGGGATGGACAGATACGGCCACAATAACTAATACATTTACAAAATAACAGGTAAGGACTTTATTTAATAAAAATACAACACAGTCATCATTTTGCTCGAAAATATGGCTTGTCTAATTTGAGTTTAAACGCGTGCCTTCTTAGCTAACTGGGCTTTTCGCTGTTAGTCCGCGGTTCAATGTCTCTCGTCTATTCGCAGTAAGTGTGGCTTAGGAGAGCGTACGTGCTCGCCGGTGAATTTAAAATACTGGGCCCCTCCTTCGTGAAACCTTAAACCGGTGACCGAATTGAACTACATAGCTATCTGTTTATCTGGCACCGAGTCTACGTCGAGTCAAACGACTTAATTTACTGGGTCGGCGTGCGCGTTTCTGTCTCTGAGTCGCCCCCCGTTTCACACTTCGCTCGTAGCCGTCGAGCTAGCCGGTTACTCACGCTATGTGACCACATTGGCTCCGCATAATGTCCATCGTGTCACGGCGGTGCGGCTTCATTGTTACGTCTCGCCGTTACCATGGCGTTTGCAAATGCCCTGCGCACGTTTAAGGTCCGATCTCCCGCGCCTTCGCAAGCTTACATTTTACTACTGTCGGCTAAATATTAATAATGGCGACTATTATTACATTGACTTAATTAAATACCTCCCCCGACGTTTTCTTTTCGTGTGAACTTTACTAATTTAGCAAGCTACTGAAGTACAGGCCTAAGTGCAGCGAGCTACCCAAGTAAGGCTTCATTTTAATTGTACATGTAGTGTACGTACTGTAATAAATGCTTTTTCCCCGGAGAATTCGATAAACTAAGCTATTCATCATTTCCCCCTTAAACTTACGTCTTTCGGTATTTTTCTTAATTAAAGGATTAACTGTATAGACCGAAATTCTGTGTACATGCCTGCAAATTAAATAAAACTGAAGATGGACACCAACCGTAGCAACATACAAGTTGTCACTTCCTTAAATGTAGACTTAGCCGCAATATTTGTCTTGTTATATCAAGCGTCATTAGGATTGTTAATTTATGTTTTTGAATAATCTGGTTTATTTGGTGAGCATGGTCGTATAACTACGATAAGCTAGTATATACCTGGCATGAATTAGGTTTCACATTCATTTTTTACTGTATGTCACGTGTCCTTAGTTTTTTAACAATATGGGAAATATGCTTACTTCATTTATGAACTATAAAATTGAGCAAAAAGCTGTAAGTCGTATATGGTTGCTAAACCAGTTGAAAGTAATATGGCGAAAAGTCCTATATTAGTAAAAAAAAAAAATTCCTTCCCTATTTTATAACGATAGTATTTTCTTAAATTAAACCGCCTGCGTCCTGTGAATTTCTTTCGTGTGTACTGGTTGACTGGGGAGCTAATAATGGCAGAGGATGGGTCCTTGTACAGAGTGAATGCAGTTTACCTGTGTCGTCAACACAGGGTATCTGGGTCTCTCCAATACACTGTAAAGTTCTGCTTCATTCCTAAGGTGGAATTGAGGTGATTGAGTTTAATTGTGACTGAAATCAGTGGATTTCTCGACCCACCAAATTTCTTCATTTGACCACTTAATGGTTACTCGTATTTAAACTTTACATACCATTTTATTTTTACAGTCTTGGCTTAAAAATAGTTGTTTGCATGTTCTCTTTGGTAACTGTCAGTTATTGTTTGAGTAACTTGAAGAAAGATGATAGATTTTAAATTATCAAAAATGTTTTTTCGGTGCCTAAGAGGAAAAAGTGTCATGGTGTTCTGGTTTAGATGCATTTTTGCAGGTATGTGAACTTGTAACTGGGAAACAATTTCTTAAAAAAGCATTTACTCAAAACTACAAGACAATCTGTGTCACTTTTTAGTATTTAAAATCCAATAGTCATGTTTGCAGAAACGTGTACATGTGGCACTCAAGCACCCCCTGTTGCTGGCTGGCTGGCTGTAGAGCATCTTCATTTCCCTCCAAAAATGTGCACAGTAGGTCCCCAGCTTGTGTGGGTGCATTAAGTAAATGCCATCATCCATGTTTTAGATTGCTTAATTCTGCACATTTCATCCATTATAAATCGAGTTCAGCTTATAATATAGTGCATTTCAGATGAAAGGGACTGGCTCTAGGAAACTAATTCCTAAATAGTATCATGTTAGACTAAATGTAGCAAAGGTATTAGTTTGTTCATTACGCTGTGCTATACTGACTTGGGGATATGTTATATAGTTTATAAAGAAAGTTGCGTAACCTGTATGCTTTCCATGCGAACCATTGCAATAGCTTTTGCTTACGACATTTTGAAGTATGTGACGTGCATGGTCATACTTCAGGTATTCTTTGGTTGTTTAAGAATACAAAAAGTTCGTTTGAACATAATCCACAGAAACATAGGCAGGACAAACAAACAGGCCACCAGACTAGGGAACATACCAGATGGGATGTTTTCCATCACAGGTCACACACTTACATGCACAATCACACACTATGGACAATTTAGAGACATTAGTTTGCCTAACTACATGTTTTTGGACTGTAAGGTACCCCACTCAAATGTGGGGAGAACATCCTTGGTCCAGAATACTTTGAGAGATAAGATGAAGAGATGTTTCTTTAAAACAAATTATAACATTTATGCTGAAATTGTGTTTATCTGGATTTTGTGCTTCAGATAATGGATGTCCTGTTCTGTCTCATTAGTTTCTATGTGTAGCTGCATCTTTTTTTCTGTTTATTGGCCATGTAACTGTCAGCTGTCCACAATTCAGGATTAAATTTGACTGCTGTACAGTCCAGTAAGTAGAGTTGCATATCAGCCTCTTCTACTTCAAATGTAACTGTAGCATAATGTTTCACTAAATTAAACCATTGTTATTAGAAGATTTGACCACAGAATTCAGAACACAGGTAATTCCAAAAGACCCCTCCGCATATTATCAGATTACCCACATTGTTCAAGATGGCAATGCAAATTGTATAACAGTATTATTTCATTTATATAAAGCTCAGTGTGTTCGATATTAGTTTTCCTAACTGACTTAAGATATAACTGCCAACTGGTGCCAAAAATTAGTAGTACAGTATTTTTAAAGATTCTGGAGATTTCACGGTATTTCATAGTATTTTTTTCCCAAGTTCACCTTTACCACAGCAACAAACGTTTACATCAGTCTATGTTATGAATGTCTTTAAAAAGGTGTGTTTTTATTAATTACTATAAAAAGTAATTTACATTTAGCTCAATAGTATAACCAACATATTTTATTGGATTAATAGACAGCAACATGTTTTATTAATTATAACTGTATATTTTGCTCCATAGTGGCATATTTTATTAATTATTATTGTATGTATAGCTTGGTAACAACATGCATGTTTAACCGGCATGATTTCAATAATTATTACTGTGTTCAGTAATGGTAAGGATTTTGCTTTACCGATATGCATTTAATTGCAAACCTAATTATGTTGCACATTGTCCAGATTTTCAGGCATGGACTGAAGTAATAGCTATTGGCCTAAATAATGTAATGCTGAACAGTTCTATATGGAGAATTGTTATAACTGTTAGTAAGAAGGGTACACACAGTTAACAGGGGACCCCTCTCAATACACTCTGCTCAACCATCCATAGTGCTTCTAGCAGCAAACAGTATTGTATAATTTGGGGCATATTGAAGTGTTACAGCTGGTGTTTCAGCTATGCTACGGTATGGCATTATATGAAAGATACATAGCATACGGAAAATTAAAACCGGTATGCTGGATGAGCTGGTACACTGTCCAGCACTACCAGCATTTTTGTATTGTATTTTTCTTACAGTGGAGGAGATACTTAGTTATTTAAAAGACCCATTTAACTAATTTATCTAAAAAATTTATCGGTTATTCTGTTGTGGATTTGTACTATGGGTATTTTAATTCATTTATCCTAGGAATAATTAATAGCAGCTATTTACCATACAAAAAAATGAATAATAACAATAATCGATACTTTATTAATCCCCGTGGGGAAATTGCCTCCTTAAACTTGCTCTTTGCTGTTAATGATTCCTTTAAAATAAATACCATTATTAGTTCATAATTGTGCGGTATTGTATGATTACCCAGATCTTAGAGGGTGATGGAGTTTATGGTAAGAGGCTTGTGGTTTTATGCTGGTTTTCAACTCTTCCAACTGGACGCTTGATTCTTTTGAACTGCACCCAACCCCAGATCCAATGTTGCGCGTGTTTTTTTTAAAAATTATTATTAAAGTGGTTAATAAAATTGTTTGATTTAATGCTGCATGGAGATGTATACTGCTCTCGTGTAGAACTTGATGGGAAAAATGTGCAGAGTAAGCATCTCCTTAATGTCACGGATGTTTTATTTTTCAGCAATGAACAATGACCATAGTTGACAAACCATCAGAGCAGTCTGACCCTGAGTCAGGTCAGCTCAAGCTCTCAGGCTCCCTGTTGTCATTGACCCCTGGTGATATGGATGGAGGCTCTGCTAACTGGGGCATAGGCTCCCCACCCTCAGATACCTCCAAAGCGAAGACCTGTGCGGAGCCCACCCCTGGAGCTGCTGTTTACAGCAGTGGCACAGCGGCCACAGGAGACAGACAGAAGGAGCAGGGTGAGTGGCATAACCTGTCAGCAGCCTGAATTTATTTATGGACAATGCCATGATTGTTAAGATACTTGGTTTCCTCTTCTTGGGTCCCTGTGTTTTCTGTCACACAATCACCACTCTGACACTTAAGGAAAATCTTTGCTGTTGTCCCTTGAGTCTTCAGGCTTTCTAAATCCTTTTAAAGTTACTTTTTGTGATTTTGGCTATTTATACATGCTCCCCTTTTTATCTTCTCCACTCACAGTGGTGACCGGCGGTGATGGTATTGCTCTCCCGCAGAAAGTCCTTTTCCCTGCGGAGCGAATCAGTCTGCAGTGGAACCAGGTCCATCGCATTGGAGCAGGACTCCATAACCTGGGCAACACTTGTTTCCTAAACTCTGCCCTGCAGTGTCTCAGTTACACTGCTCCCTTTGCGAACTACATGCTCTCCCGGGAGCATTCAAAAACATGTACGTTTCTAGAGTAAGACTTTGGAGTAATTCCAGTGCTTGGTTTCTGCACCAGGTTTGAATTGACCTTTTTTTTTTTAAAAAAAAAAAAAAATCTCCCTGCAGGTCATGAACCCAACTTCTGTATGATGTGCATCATGCAGAATCATATTATTCAAGTCTTTGCCAACTCTGGAAATGTCATAAAGCCCATTGGTGTTCTCAATGAGCTAAAACGTAAGTGCCACGGCTATGCATGGATTCACACCCTTATGCCATGTCAGATAATTGTGTGTGTCAGTGTCATATTACTGCCTTAGGATGAATGTTTGTCTCTCTTTTGGCTTTGGATTTTTTTGCAGGAATCGCAAAGCATTTTCGCTTTGGAAATCAGGAAGATGCTCATGAGTTTTTGCGGTACATAATTGATGCTATGCAAAGGTCGTGCCTCCCTGGAAATAAGTAAGTTGAATCGTACAAAGATATTTTGATTTAATCAGCATTTTAGGATATTTATATTCTGTCACTATGTAATTGTAATTCCTTAATCCTTCTCATGATTTTCTCACATTAGCAGTAGCTGTTCTGTTGCGTTTGAAAACACAGTTGATATGCAGATGCTTCTTGCTTTATGATGGTTTGATTTATGATATTTCAACTTTGTCATGGACTGATAGTGGCGCACATTCAGTAGTCAGCTTTGATTTATGACCTATGCCCGGGCTGGCGATATGCTATCGATACTTTCCATCGATGCCGGGAGATGGCAACTTCCGCTCAGCCACACTTCCAACCTCCGTAGCGATCGTGAGCATAAACATCATATACAGTGTTTAACAACGTACCGTACAGTGTTTTTATTTTTCCTGTGTTTAGCTGAATTAGTAAATACTGGTATTAATTATAGTAATTGTTATTCATTGAAAGTGCCTATTTGTTTACTCATCATATATTCTTACTCGACTTATGTAACCGCACTGTCAGCAAAGAGCACCTTTATACGTGTCTTTTTCTCTGCAGATTAGACAGGCAAACCCAGGCAACTACATTCGTCCATCAAGTTTTTGGAGGCTACCTAAGATCGAGAGGTAGGCTTTCTTCTGCTGGTAATAATACAATGTCATATTTAACTAGATAAAACTGTTGCTATTGCACTATAGAAGGGTAATAAGTGTTTGGTGGTTCATTTGGAATGGATAAAGGTTACACACGTTTAAGACATCACTGTCCATTCCAGTTGGCCCCTGTGGCTTGTGTTGCTAATTTTCAGTATTTTCTTCCCAGTGAAATGCCTGAACTGCAAAGCAGTCTCTGATACATTTGACCCCTTCCTGGATGTTGCTTTGGAAATAAAGGTAACTTGCACACATTTGGACACAACAGCAAAAGAAATGCGTTGTGTCACAGCAATCAAATGCCCTTTATTGCACTGGAAGCAGAAAACATGATTTTCCCCTCCAGTAGTCAGTAAGTAGTGATAAAGATTTGTCTTGACTGGTCTTTGCATTAATCAAATCTGTATGATTTTGCTTTCTGGCAAACGTCTAGACTGCCCAGAACATCACCAAAGCACTGGAGCAGTTTGTTAAGCCCGAACAACTGGATGGAGAGAATGCCTACAAGTGCACCAAGTAAGAGGCGATTGTCATTAATGTTGTTTGTCTGTTCTGAAGATTGTCTTCTGCAATCCATATTTTTGTTAGTTACAGGCTTTATCAGTAGGTTAACGGTTATTCAGAGCAGTTCTTCGTACTGTTGGGTTTAATTCAAAGTAACTTCGATGCAAAGGAGAGTGTAATACATATTTTATAATTTTTTTTATAGGTGTAAAAAAATGGTACCGGCCTCTAAGAGATTCACAGTTCATCGCACCTCCAGCGTGCTGACCATTTCCCTGAAACGCTTCGCAAACTTCAATGGTGGAAAGATTGCTAAGGTAGGGCTATTCTCAGCATTCTTTTCTTAAAAGAATCTTCGCATCATAAAATACAATTTATAACAGTGTATGTGGGCTTCAGATCTCTAAAAAGGAATGTTACTGGCAAAAAAGCTATAAGAAAACTCATTCCTAAATAATTTATGAAACCTGATGCCTCTGGTCTGAGCATCTTAACTGAGTAACTCAAGCAGGGGTTTCTTAAGCGATACAAATAGATTGGCCATTAGGATATTTATGTTGGGAAATCAAAGCACTTTGTACCTTCTGATAAGTCATACTTCCAAGCAGTGTAGGAAATTGAAAAAAATATTTGGGGGCAACTTTTGCCTCCACCGTCTAAAAAATGGGGGTAAATGGCCACTTTTTAAAAATAGTAATTAATGCATACAGTTTGTTTTTAATGTGGAATAAGCCTAGTTAAAATGCATATAGTAATCATCACCTTGTGCCAACATGAGTAAATAAAAAGTTCCAAAAAGTGTGCAATCTCAATATGTGTATAGAATACCATCTATATGTGTATAGAATACCATCTATATGTGTATAGAATACCATGTATATGTGTATAGAATACCATGTATATGTGTATAGAATACCATCTATATGGTAAGAGAGAGAGGTATGTGAGAGAAAGCAGGAGACCATTCTAACTAGGCTTTTATTTGGCTCTTAATAGCCGTTGTGTGTATATATATATGTGTAACGTACTAGTTTCAAATTCAAATTACGATTTTTAACCTTTGAGCCATTCGGCAATGTTTTATAACAAAATGAGACAAGTACCAGTTATTTTTCACCTCCATCAGCTGTCCCATGGGTCAGTTACCGAGTGGTTTTATTTTAGCGGTCAGTTCTGAGAGTCTGTGTGGCATCACGGCCCAATCTCTCACATTGTTTGTAATCAGGAAGGAGTACTATTGGTTTTAACACAAAATAAAATGTATGTTGATATAAACGTTATTGTGTCATTCTGTGTCACGTTTTGAAAATATATCTATATACTATGAAAATTCATTATATTACACCAGGCAACAGTCAGTGTTGTCAATGGGTGGGTGGCGAAGCCATGAATAAGCAGACAATCCGTAGCCTTGTCCCTAGCAGAGAGAGGCTTTTTTATTATAAAGTTAAATTGGCCTCTGCCAACTAGCGTTACATAGTAAGTAGCATGTAGTTACAGTTACATGTTACATCCCCCCCCAATCCCCAAGATGTTTGCCCCTCTATCACAGTATTTAGGGCCATTGTTGCCCTTTGCTCCCATTAATTTCTTACGCTACTGCTTCCAAGTCTGTCTTCCATTAGATAGCATGAAGTATTTGTGTTCCCCAGGATGTGAGGTACCCTGAGCACCTGGACATGCGTCCATTTATGTCTCAGTCTCACGGAGAGCCCTTGAACTACCTTCTGTATGCTGTGCTGGTTCACTCGGGGTTCAGCTGCCACGCTGGACACTACTACTGCTACATCAAGGTTAGTCCTGTGGGCTCCAGTCATTGCTTTGCCTTGAGATGTTTTGATCCAAGCTCAGCATGAGTTTGTGGTTGAAAACCCTCTGCTTTGTTCCAGGCCAGCAGCGGTCAGTGGTATCAGATGAATGACGCTTCAGTCACTGTCAGCGACATCAGAACGGTCCTCAACCAACAAGCCTATGTCTTGTTTTACATCCGGTGAGATGCTTGATATTTTTTGTCAGACCTCTATGTGAATATCTCTGTCGTTCATTCTGGGATGTGTGGCACTGTAACATATATTCATCGCATGGGTGTTGCAGATCCCTAGACTTGAAAAATGGAGTGGAACACAACCATTCCAGTCGAATGCCTGGCCAGTCCTCCCCACGGCCCATTCTTGCACCTCGACCAGCCGGGCCCCAGCCGTCCTCCACCGGCTTCATCGGGCCTCAGCTGCCCCCCCACATGGCCAAGGTGCAGTCCCATTAACCGTGTTTGCCTTGGCCACTATGGGAATCAGTTTGTGTGTTTTTGCAGTGGAGTGGAGCAAATGCTAGGATTCCTTAATGGAGCTTAATTAGATAATAAATTGCTTTAAAAATATAACTGACTTTTCAGGGGAGGAATTTCCCCTGAGGACAGTAATGGCTCATAAAAAATCAACTGTTTATTGAATTTTTTTGTTAGCAAAATCATGCTTGTGCCAATTTCATGCTAGTTACAAAGACTGTGAAGGTGTACACAACCAGTACTAGTGTGTCTACGTTTGGGTGTCTGTATGTACAGAACTCCCCACACATAAATGGGACCGGCTCCATTCGAGGGTTACCCTCCAGCTCGAAGCCCGGCAGCAGCCTCGCGAGCAGAACAGGGTCCAGCATTCCTTCCAGTTCCCTGGCCTCCCAGGTGCTTAATCGGCCCACCAGGATCCCCGAGTCTGCCAAGAGGCAGAAGCTGTCCTTCCTCATCGGTCAGGGGAAGACAGTGCGGCCTCCCGGGAGCCAGCCAGCCCTTCATTACAACCCCAGCTGCTCGTCATCCATTACCTCCCAGCTACAAACACAACCCTCATCGTCCACTGCCACTGCCTCCTCTTCCTCCTCACGGTCTACCTCAGAGAATCTGCCAGCTGCAGTGTCCCGGCCCAGCCTTCCCCCCGTCTCCCAGGGCTCCCATATGAACGGCACGTCCCATAACCACTGTGCCGCTTTCCTGGTGCCCTACGGCCAAGAGTCCTCTGAAGAGTCCGACCAGGAGGGAGGAGCCATGGAGAACGGCCTTGCTGGGCCTCATGGCACGCCTGCTGTAAACGGGAACAGCAGGGTTATTGCCACGGAGACCCATGTGTGGGAGAATGGCTCGGGACCATCCCATAATGGCACTAGACCAAGCCAGAATGGGCTACACAAGGTCAATGGTGTCAACCATAGTGAGAAGGTAATGATATCTTACCCTTGTTATTATCTGCTGCAGGTGAGAAAATGGCCACATGGCAATAAGAGGTAGACAATGGTGATACAAGACAGTATTGAGTGGTATTATAGAGTTTCTGCTATATTATTTTCACAAATGCCAATGAGGCACTTATTCCCTTTGTTTAATTATTAATGAATATTGTTGGTGCATATTTATACCTCAAACATACCGATACTTGTGAACTCTTAGGGTGTTGATTCAAGTAAAATCAATTCTCCATACCCAGTTTTTATTTTCAAATTAAATCAGGTGTTCAAGAGTATGGATATTGGTGTTTTGCAGGTCTCTCCTGAGGCACTGGGCCTGAGTTGTTCTCAGAATCCGTCTCCCAGTGTGGCCGACGGCAGAGATGCCCCAGCCAGTGTTAAAGAGACCCTGGACACAAACCCCGTGGAGATTGTGCCTGGGTATGGAATGTTTTAGTATTTGTTTTTTGCCTTTTACAAGACATTGAGGAAATGAAAGAGTACAGGGGCTCTTAGTTATTTACATGATACTGATAGTCCTAGTGTGTAGGACATTCACTTGTGAAGCATATTAACAAGTCTACATGCAATCTTTGGCTCTTATTAAAAGTTTATTTGTATGATGTTTTCCAGCAAAGAAGCATTGCTTCCTATACCCTCCTCCTCCCAAATGGGTCAACCCCACAGTTGTACCTCTGTCCAAGACAACAATGCCTCCACTAATGGAACAAGGGCTAGCAGTCACTTGAATGAGCTCACCGACCCTGTGTCCAGTGTGGCCTCTGATCCCGGTCTGACATCGGATAGAAATACTACAACTGAGGTTAAAGCTAAGCCGCTTGATGTGGTCTCTCAAACCCCTGCTTATGTTTCTCAAAACAACGCTGTCACCTTGATGGATGCTGCCGGTGCCTCTAACCACGGCTCCACAGATGCTGGTTCCATTAACAATTTGCCGTCTGGCCCAAGCCTAGTTTCTGGAAGTGACCTTTCTAGAGTGAAGGAGAGCACAGAAACCGCAAAAGCAGCATGGAGAAGCACCTCTGAAAGCAGCGGCCATATTCCCAGGTTAGAGAGCAAAGGGGAGTCTAAGGAGTCCAACCCAAGACACATCGCCAGGGAAGGAAAGGGGGCCGTGGACAAAGCAGTCCACCTCTCTAGAAACTGGGATCGAGGGCCTGAGAAACACCGGCACCGCCGGGAGAGAAGCCGGGTCCGGAGCAGGGAGAGGAGCCGTGAGAGAAGCCGGAACCGAAGCCGGGACCGGAGCAGGGAGAGGAGCCGGGACCGGAGCAGGGAGAGGAGCCGGGACCGGAGCAGGGAGAGGAGCCGGGACCGGAGCCGTGAGAGGAGCCGGGACCGGAGCAGGGAGAGCAGCCGTGAGAGAAGCCGGGACCGGAGCTGGGACCGGAGCCGCTACAAGCATGACCGGAGCTACCGCTCTTACAGGGACAGGTCTCGCAGTTGGGACCGACACCACAGGGATAGGGAGGTAGAGAGACGCTGGGATCGCTTTGGACACTACAGCAGGGAGCACTACCACCGGTCCAAAGAAGACCGAGACCGTAGACTCGGTGAACACGACCATGATTATGACAGGCTCCTGGGGTACCGTCGCCGGGAGGAGCTCGGCAGCCAGAGACGCCGTTCAGAGGAGGGACGAGGACGGGGGCACCACACTCAGGACGGAGAGCACGGTAGAGCCAGGCACTCGCCCCAAACCACTGCATCGCCACCCCCTGGCCACGGCAGAGGCTCCCATGTGCGACTACCCATACAGGACCAGCACTCTGAGGACCGTCGCACCAAGAAACACAAAAAGTCCAAGAAGAAGAAAAGAGCAAAGGACAAGTATCGGGAGCATTGGTAAGTTTATGTGACAGAGGGCCTTAAGTATCAAATACATACATACATAGTTCAGTGGTCCATTGCTAAAGACAATTCATGCCAATTTTTTGCCATGCTTAGGTCATGGCTGGCTACTTTTATTTAAATGAAGGAAAACAAACACATTTTAAAAGGAAAACACATTTTATGCAAATAAAAAAATGCTGATTTATTATTTAATAAAGGACATTTTTTCAAGTCATAATTTTTCATATTTCATATCGTGATAAATATCATACCTTGTACCTCATTACATCCCTGGGATACAGTGAATTTTATGATTTAGTTCTTGATTATATTTAATTTGGCAACAGAATGCACAATTCACACTTAGAAATATTTTTGTGAAAGTTATTAAATAAAACAAAGAATCAGGCTGTTGTTAGTCATGTTGACAGTGGATGTCATCCTGTAGGGTAGTGGCATAGCTTTTGTTTGAGCAACATGGCCATTATACACTGCCTGGCCAAAAAAAGTCACCATTTGAATTCAAATCTGCATGTACTTAAGAGCCAATGATTATTACAGCTCAGCAATGTTACGCAGCAATAAAGTGAAGTCGGCTGAGTACCTGAATCTACTGAATGGCCAGGTTATCCCTTCAACCGATTTTTTCTTTCATGCATGGCATGGGCATATTTCAGGACAAGAATGCCAAGATTCTTCAGGCTTGGACTGTCAAACAGTGGTTCAGGGAGCACGAAGAATCATTTTCAGACATGAATTGGCTTCCACTGAGTCTTAACCTTAACCCCATTGAAAGTCTTTGAGACATGCTGAAAAAGACTTCACGGAATGGTTCGACTCACCTTAAACCAGTACAAACCCTTGACGAGAAATGCAAATCTGGGTGAAAAAAGTATTGATGCTGCACAAGCATGTGGAAACAATGCATTAACGAATATGTACCATAATCAAAGCTAAAGGCCGTCCAATGAAATAGTAAAGTGTGCAACCTTTTTTTTTGGCCAGCGGTGTATTTTCCTACTCGTAGCATACTCAAATAGTGTTGCTACAACACTAAACACATTTTTCCAATGTTAATTGAAATGTATTGATACAAATATTTTATTTAATGCTTAGTAGTTGATAAAAGTGAAAAATTATCAGTATCGGGATCAGACCAGAAAAAAATATATTGTGCCACTTTATTATTATTATTATTATTATTATTATTAGGGATTCTGTCGTGTGGTGTAATGCAGTGCTGTCATTTATTGATGCTCTATGGGCCAAAATAGGGTACATTTTTGATTCAAATGGGTTCCTCTTGCTAATACAAACATGGTACAATCAGTGCCATATAAAAATGAGACTGCAGAGGGTTTGCATCAGGATCGTAATTGAAAAATGATTGATTAAGCAGCCCTAGACTTGGCCTTGTGAATGCGATAAATTAAAAATATTTGGATCGAAACCACAAAACATTATATGAAGATCTATACCGATTTCATTCCAAGACAAATTGCACCAAAACTGAAGCAGGAGTGCTAGGTAGCAGCAGAGGAAGGAAAGGGTGGCATCAGAAGACGTGTAATGGATCTTTTTCAGACTTCCTTGGAACATTGTATAGGTGATCTGGGGCCTGCTTAGTTTTGAGACAAATTAAACCAAAATTGGGCTGGGAGGGGGGGGGCTAGAGATTGCAGAGGCTTGGGGTCGTGGGAGGAGTTGGGCATAGATTGCGGGGCCGACAGGGCCGTCGTTCACGTATCCTGTGTGTCGTACCTCTTCAGGGGCCAAGATGCATTTGAGAGGACTTCCGACAGCAGCTCCAGGAAGCACAAAAAGAAGAAGAGGTCGAGACATGAGGCAGACTCCCCATGGGAGAGCCGCTCCAGCCTAAGTGGCGAGGAGCACCGTGGTGGCGATTACGACAAGGCAAGCCGCAAGCGCCAGCACCACGATGACGCGCGCCCAGCCTTCGGCAAACGCTGCCGGACTGAGAACAGCCACCACACTCACAGCGGGCTACAACACCACAACCATACAGGTGATTAAGCTTGTGCGTGTCGTGGAGAAGCCACAAAGCTCATTGCACTTTCAGTGAGCAGCTTCCACAGGTGAAATAGGTTGGATTTTGATAATCTTGGCATGTTTTTGTTTTATCGTTAACCTTTTTTATTAAAGACTGAATTGCCTGCATCACACATCTCTTACACCAGATGGCAACACTGAGTCATTTTTGCTGTCTTAGTTTGATCCCCCCCCCCCCAATGAATTAGTATTTCTTTTTTTGTGCAGGGAACGTCACATCTCAGTCAAAGAGTAACACTCACGCATGCTCTCATAATGGCCTGAGCGCAGAGACGGACCACAGAGACTCAGACCATGAAGAGTCTTTCCTCTGCAAGACTGACAGAAATAAGGGTAAGTGGGACCACTTGAATCTTAAACAGAACTAAGACCCACTTTTTGGGTGGCAACTGTGTTACATCTATGTGCCTTTGTAAGTGTGTGAGTGTTCTGCTCATATGTCTTACAGTGCAGCTGATCTCATTTAGCAGGTTTTAAATGTGTTTTTAGAGCAAGCCACTTGTGAGGACATGGGAGGGAGTAGAGACACTGGAAGAAGCTTGTCCTGCAGTAACATGGACAGAAATGAAGTTGGTGAGAGATTTTTAGGATCTAGGACAAATTCCCTGATGTGCCATAGCCATACATATGTTGCAGAAGGCAAAGGCATTGCATTAAATGTCAGTTTGTAGACTCTTCAGATAAGCCTTACTATAAATTACACTGTGTTAGATTGAATAAGGTTTGTCTCCTGTAGGGAATACAAAACTGTAGATGTCTTTAACACTAAACAATGCAGCGTAATATAAGTGGATCTTGAAGACTGATTATGCGCATTTCATTTTTTAAAAACAGAATGAAAACATGATTTTTTTTCCGTTCAGTGAAGGTAAGGATTGATATCAACATTCTGACCTTCCATAAAAGACAGATTAATTGTATTGCCCAGATGAGGAATACATATTGTTTTGGGATTGGTCTACCGCCATATGCACTTATCTTATTAATGTCATAACTTGTCTGGAACTGATTTCATTTTGAGACCAGGGAGTATATTATTGTCATTCTGACAGCATCTAGTTTATGACTTTTTTTGAAGTGGTTTCTTGTAGGAGTTTTGGCTAAAAAGTGTAATAGTATGATGGTAAGGCAGATCTTTCTAAAATAAACAGCCTGTGCAGTATAATACGCATTTCTTTGTACCTTTTCAAGATGGTTACCAACATTCTGTATTTCCTTGTCTTTGTTTTTTAGACCATGGATTTTGTGAACGCCTTCTTCAAAAGAAGTGAATTTCAAATGCCGAACAAATTAAATCCTGCTAACGGAAAAGTGGTGCTTTAATCATAAATTATACTGTATTTTTACCACAGAAGATGTTTTAGATATTCTTTTTTTTTAAGCTGAAATGTTAATTTACTCTTCGGTGGTGAAAAGTATCATAGTGAACATCCTTAAGAATGCGACTGAAATATATTTAATAATGAACTGTAATCAAAGAAGAAGCCTGGAGCTTAACATCTCAGCTGCTGCTTATAGACTCAGGACTTTGTCACTTTTAAATGAGACTGCTTTCCTTTTTACGGTGTTTTCCTAGGATGAATGGAAGCTAAAAATATTCATTAAAGGAATGGCTCTTAAGTACTTGGCTGTTGCCTTCAGAGTTGGGATGTCACCATATCCACAGGATACTGATCTGATACTGAGTGAATTGGTGGTTGTGTTGTGTACACGTGTACCGCAATGACAATAACCTGGACCGACTAGAGAGTGTAGTTTTACACACTTATTTTTCTCCTCTAGCAGCTCATCACTGGAAAGGATTTGTTGGCTTTCACTGAAAACCATGTTCCATAAATCTCCATAAGTCGTGTATCATGTCTGCTCATCGAACTAGTTCTGCTTTCTAAGGCAAAAATCCACTTGAGTTTCTAGCTTCAGAAAGAATACTGTGAATTGCATTTGAACTGTACTATCAGTTATTTTTATACATGAACGTTCCTGTATCAGGAATATTAATAGAAAAAATATTTTTTTTGTTTTAATAAATTTCCACTACATAGTTTGGACCCTTTACTATGGGCATGTCTCATTTAATGGCTATGGTTTGCTTTTTTCTACAAAATGAAATTATGGTTAATATTCTACCCTTCTGTAGCATGTAAAATTTCTACGATGTAAAAACCTGTATAAAGAAAAAGCCTTAAAAATGCATTGTCATGGTCTTGTATTTTTTCTTTTCAGAATTTAGTCTACCATGCAGATTACTGTTTAAAAGTAGGGCGCTGTATGTAAACATATTTATATTAGGCCTGTCAGCATTAACATGTTAACAAATGCAATTACTGTAAATTACTCGTCATTATTAATTATTATTATTATTATTGACAGTCCTGATTGGAAGCTTTTTGTTGTTGAATTCATGCTTTTGTTGCCTTTTGTTTTAAAAAAAACTTGGACAAATTATTGCTGGCATTGAGACTGATATTTCCGTGCATCTTTTTCAGGGATGATTCTTTGTGCAGGTGGCTAATTTGTCTGACCTTCAGATATATCTTGGGTCCATTGTTTGGATTATTTTCATTATTGTCGCACATATTCTGTTCACTGCCATGCGTACAGCTAATACAGGATGTGTACCATCCCACAATGCATTGTTCAGCAGCTGATTTTACCCTAGGTCAGGGTTTTTATTTTCATTCCCATGTAAAACACTGCTGGCTTCAGCCTCATCAGTCACCATTCTCTTCAGAATCCATTCCTATCCCCATACCATACTGGCTCACTCCAAATGATACCTTGTCAGCTGACCACTGACATCTAAACTGCTGAAAGCTACAGCCGTAAGGTTTTACATGCAATAAAATTCACACCAAAATACAGAATGTACATTATTTACACATAACTTAAGAATATGCCTTCCAACAGTCACAAATGGAACTTGCAATTGAGTAAAGAAAATAAATACAAAAGCAAACTGATATTGGATGTTCAATCACAAACTGGTCACAAACATTGTTTCTCCACAATACAATGTAATATTGGAAAATAAAACAATAATAAAATAGATTCCATTGTAATATTTGTTAAACTAGCAGGTACTTATGTTACCTCCTATACATAAGGATACTAAAAAGCTTTATTTGACTGGTACTTCAGAACAAAAGATGTTTTTTTAACAATGTTTTAAAAAATCAGCCCTTTATTTAGACTGATGTGGAATGTTATGAACATTCTTTCTAATATCTTCTTAAATGCCGATGAGTGTAACAGCACAGCAAAATAACACCTGCAGGGTATATAACCCAGTTCTGGCCCATTTCTTTCTTTCTTTTTCTGTATGTTCATTATTCTGTTATGCAAAATTGTAACGCTTCCGGGTATTCAGCCCTGGGTTTTCCATGTCTTAAGTGATTTTTCTTAAGACACTCTAATGCCACAGGTATTAAAGAAGCGAGGTGATCGACATGCTGATTTCAGGAGGTGACCATTTGAAACTGTCGATGAATGTAGTGGAGGTTGAGCTATGAGTTCTTTTCCTTTCTGCTTGAAATACCTCACCCTCAGGATGCACAATTTAGGGGACACATTTAATAAAAAATTTCTTTAAGTTACAAATTTCCCATTTTTTCATAAAAATTATACTCATAAAAATTCTGTTTTGATTATATAGCTATGTTTTGAGATCACACTGGATCTATGAACATGCATAGGTAGTTAAAAATTGCAGCTAAAGATGCTAAAATAATAATCACACTGGGGGAGTAGGGGTGTAGTTAAATACCACAGCTATGGGGCTGGCTTCACATTCTCTTGTTCAGCTGTCATTCTGGACTGATGTCATGCCTGCTCTTGTTCTGCACTTGGGCCAGCGTCCCTGGTGTACTGAATGTCTGGAAGACCACTTGGGAATTGAGCCCGTCCTCCTTGCCGTCTGTGCGGCTCACTTTTTGTTAGCAATCCTTCGTTTTCTGGTGGCCAGCATGTCGTAGAAAGGATCTCTGCTGATGCTGGCCCTGTGGAACAGAGAAATAATGGAAAACGGTACTTTAATGCAATATCAGAAACGTCTTTGATATGGAAATGTATGCACGTTTCAACAAACTGTATTTTATATAAAGAAGAGGGGAAAAAGTTTGCAATGTGACCCAGTTTAGTTTCCATGGTTTCCAAAGATTATTTTTTTCCACCCATCATCTTTCTGAGCTGAGGAATTTCTTAGCATCCAAAACACATTCCACCTTCAGCACAGATTCACTGCTTAATACTGGAACATGAAAGAAGGATAACTAAACTAATGTCAAACATTAAACATGCACAAAACATGCTTACAATAGCATTATTTCTTCAGATTATTAATATGTAATAGACTTTACGTACTTAATTTGGGTGGGAAAAATACAATTACAAATGTTAATATACACTGTCACACCATCCGAAGTCTCTCCTGCCTTTTGCCCTACGCTTCCTCGGATAGGCTCCCTGTAAAGCATTAGAAGATGTGGAAGATGGATGGATAGATGTTCATGTGCTGTTTCATACTCCTGTGCCATATTAACAAAGGGAACAAGTACACAATGGTGCATGTTTACTGTACTATATCTGTAGACTGTGGAAATTCTGTGATCATTCCACATTGCTGACATTTCTGGAATAAACTGACCATGAGTCATAATGCAGACCTTAACCAGCTGTAGAAAACTATCTTTTGGATAGAAGCTATTTTATTTTGAAGAACCTTGTAGAAATACTACAGTACTATCACTTCAGCCCTATTTACTCTAACCTCTGGTGGTTGAAACTATCTACTTTAAAACCTCAGTGGCACAAACTACCCTGCATTTGTATAATTTCATATTTTCACAGCTGCTTTTATAATTCAAATGCTGAGCTGTTTCTCAGATGCAGATGCCTTACAAATGATTGCAAGGCAGTGCCGCATGGAAGTAAATCTCTCTGCAGCCTGTCGAGGTGAGTAATGAGCTTTAAGGAAGGAAAACTCCATGTAATATGAGGTGATTTTTACATTCCTAAGAACTACTGTCTTTTTTTAAAGGATTTCCCTCTGAGCAGCTGTCAACAAGAAAACATTTTTAGCCATCTGAAAAGACATAAGATGCCAAGAGTGTCAAAATCCTATCTAGGGAGCTCAGAGCATGACTTTGGAGAATGATTGAGGAAGAACGTGAGGTATCCATTGCTGTAATGGAGGAAGACACTTTTGTACACGGAGAGCGTCTTTACAGTTCTTGCGTTTTACTCTTTTCTCCTTTGTTTTTTTTTTTTTATAATTCTGTATTCCACAATTTTATAATGAACATTTTCATTACTAACAGCTGCATTATAGTACATCATAGTCTACTGTATTAAACTACAGGAGTATGAGTTTTATCTTTGTGCTGGATAGGTTGTGGGTAGGTTTGGCAAATGTGCAAATAAAATATAGATTTCCCTTGAAATTTTTGTGTTTTATGTGAGAAAATGTCAGTTATGAGCCACAAGTGGTAAAGCATTTAGAAACACTGAATTATCCCCTGAAATATCGCTAGCCACATTTTAGCCATTTTGCATAGGTTTGGCACACAGGTGCATCATGTACACTTTCCTCAGTAAAGCCTGTTAGGTTCCAGTAAATGATGTGAAATTGGGTGCACATGTAGAAAAGAAGACTGGGAACCATATATGTACAAATTTGACCAAATCCATCATATAGTTTTTGATATATTCACAGAACACCAAAACACTAAATTGCATTTTTGAACTTGTTCAACTTTTTTATGTTCTATTGTCCATAAATTATAGAGAAGTTGTGAATTTCAATTATGCAAGTCACTGCAATTAATGGAACAATGGTCTGCTTTGATTTAAAATATTGGGCATGTCTCTCTAACTTCTACATCTGAAGTTATGAAGCTTCAAATGCAACCATACAAATGAGGCAGTAATTGGCTGGCAAAATTCAATATTAATCTAACAGGTTCAGTATCAGTGTACTTATTGTGTGAGGCTATCAGCCGACACGCTCAGTTTAGAGGATAGACGGACTGTTCAGGAAGCCCTTACTTGATGGACTTGATCCATTCCTCCTTCTCCTCTGGTGTGGGAGCCGATATCCTGTACACCACATGGTTCCCCTCAACCACCCTACCATCCGCCTCGGTCTTGCAGGCCTTGATCACCTGGCCCTTATGATTAGGGTTAAAGAGCTCAAAGCAGTTCTGCATAAAAAAAACAACATAAGGTGACTCTTCATTGCTCTGAAGTCTATAGGTTACTGTGATGTTAATGTACCAGTGAGAAGGCTGCTCCAAGAAAGAAAAAAGGAATAGCTCTACTAGACAGTAGTATTTCTACTCTTTGGGAGGGGTTGCTTACAGGCTTCCTGGGCTCTTCAACCTCTCTAATGCTGAGGTTTTCCAGCGGAATGATCCCGCGAGGCTCCTTGTCCTGTCAAACAGACAGCACATCTCAGCGAATTCCTTTCTAATTACGTGCTGTTGTACAGAGTGACTAACCATACAGAACCATAGAAAATATTGGTGAGATTCTGAAACAGAATTCAAGAAACAGAAACTTATACTTCAGGGTTACTGCATACTCATGAGCAATTCTTAATGTCAAAGCACAAAGGCAGTAAGAAAGCCATGCTCTCATTCTACCCTGCCTGTAGGGTATGGTTCCTGACCTTCAAGTTGCAGATTTCTAAAATAGGCTATAGCCTGAACATAAACCCTACATGCTTTGTTAAGACTCACAAATGCCAAACTCCTATTTGGTTTACATATTTTTTATAGAATAATCCATATGAGATTTACCGTTGTGTACTCAAAATAATATAGGCAGTTGTCAGTCAATATAAACCACCTTCGTTTCCAGGTCTTCACTCTTCCACCTGTAGGGAAACAAACACCAGATAGAGATACAAAACCTTTCAGGAAGAAAGAGCAGGTGCCCTGTAACAATGCAGCAATTTGCTGTACACCATGTCTCTCATTTAGGACTCATTAAAACCAAAACTTTTGTTGAAAAGTGTTCATGTTCATGGTTTGCTCATTACCACATGTATTTTTTAAAATTGCTTTTATGGGGGGGGATTGTCTATAACAATGAACATTTTTCAGAGTGCAGGGTATAACCAACAAACTAACACCAACAACCATAACCAAGCATTTGCACATGGAGTACAGAACAAGGTGTAGGTTAGTTTATCTGCAGTACCTGTTAGTATTATTACTGCAGTTCTTTTGGTGTGAATGTCAGGGTTGAGTGGAATCATACATCATCTCAGAATCATCTCAGTAAATGATAAGGGCAGGTGGGTTAACAAAATTCTTTTCCAGAGATTATAAAATGTGTGATGTGATGGCGTGGGGGGGGGCAGTCTTATTCGGGTTTGAGTCCAGCCCTCTGCTTCCTGCCACCTTCATCTGGACAAATAGGGTGTCGGTGAATTTGTGCCTATAAATGTGTGTCTGTGTGCATGTTAAGTTCAAATGGTAGATGGGACAATCAAGCTATTTGTGAAAGAATAATTATTCTTAAAGTATACTTAGGATTTGTTCCAAGTTACATTGTTCAGGCTACTGTGTGGGTGTCAAATTCAATAAGATAAATGTCAGGTAAGCATCGTTTTAAAATGTAAAAGGGCTCTGACCGTCCTTTAACGTTATGAAATCGCATGTAGGATTTCAGCCGAACCAGTGTGGAGACTTCAGTCATTCCACCTTTAAAAAGCAGTAGTTTGTTTGAAATTTGTCATAAACACCCACAGGTTTGGCTTCCACTCCGAGGTTTTATCTCATCCGTTCAGGTTATATTTGAACATTTTCTTACGTAATGTGATCCATGTATTTATATTTATACAAGAATTCTTCCTCACAGCGGGCTACACGGTAGTCGGTTTAAGCAGAGGTCTCAAAGTATGACAGACAGTTTCCTGCGGGCCAGGCAAACATTTAATTCATTATTAAAAGTGGCCTGCGGATCGATCTTCCGTTTTCCACAGATTAGCATTCTTTTGCCAGATTAGCGGATCATTCGGGGCAGGGTTTTTTTTTTTAATTATTCTACATCATTTCTATTTTGGCTAAAAAAAAATAATTAAATTAAGTGTCCCTCTTGAGCTGAACACCTCCTAGCCAATGCTCCCCCCCCCCAGGCTATTTGAGCTTGAGATGCCTGGTTAATGGATATACATTTAATAGTCAGCTCATCCTATACGAAGAGTTATGTCCCTCTGGCACCTTGTGACTAAAGCTGGGATGCAATGCAAAAGGCGTAAATGGCCATTGAATGAGACGATGGAATGAAATCAGCAGGTTATGGTGCTGGGGACTGTAAAGGTCAAGTGTAAATGTACCCTCAGGATGGAAATGCATCCAATTCTGTAGGGAGTAACCACAGAGTCTGGCAGACAGAATGAAATGAGAGAGTGGAACCTACTGAAACTGCCAAGAATCTCACATCATGGGCTGCAGCCAATGCCGCCCTGAAGAGGTGATATTCATTTTTTTTTCCACATTGTGCAGAAAGCATGCAGCTAGGGCTGCACTGGCATGGCGTATGACCAGTGACAGAAAGGCTGGAAAAAGCAGTGGTGAAGGGCGGAATCTACGGGAACGGTTAGGGCTTCCGGAGCAGCTTCAGTATCAAAGGATTATCACGCGTATGAAGGGAACGAAAAAGAACGATAATAAGAAACAAAATCACCTGGCACTATAAAACAAGTCAAACAGACTCAAAACGGCAGAAAAAATAAGCAATAAATAAGTAGAGATTAGCCAAACTTCAAAGAAAATGGGGAGATAAAACATGAAAAAATTATAAATATGAGGATTTTTACTACATAATAAACACAAAAAAGCCCCTGTACAATATTTTTCTTTCCTCTGATATCAGATATTTTATATAAATCCACAAAGCAGAGAGGTGTCCAGCTTTTTTCTTCAACAAATGTTTCACACGAGTTTGTGAAACACGGAGCCTGGAGGCCGAGGTGGGAAAAGGGGAAGGCCAGTGTCCCGTCACCGTGAGAGCCCGGGCCCGTGTCCCGTCACTGTGAGAGCCCGGGCCCGTGTCCCGTCACCGTCAGTGCCCGGGCCAGTGTCCCGTCACCGTGAGAGCCCGGGCCCGTGTCCCATCACCGTCAAAGCCCTGCCCGGTGTCCCGTGACCGTCAGTGCCCGGGCCCGTGTCCCATCACCGTGAGAGCCCGGGCCCGTGTCCCATCACCGTGAGAGCCCGGGCCCGTGTCCCGTCACCGTCAGAGCCCAGCCCTGTGTCCCGTCACCGTCAGAGCCCGGGCCCGTGTCCCATCACCGTGAGAGCCCGGGCCCGTGTCCCGTCACCGTGAGAGCCCGGGCCCGAGTCCCGTCACCGTCAGAGCCCGGGCCCGTGTCCCGCCCCCTCCTGACTGTCTGCTCCAGCTCTGGCTGCCTGCATCAGTCTCCTCTCTCCTTAGATGTTACTGCTTTCCCTGAATCTTACTGACCGCACTGTACATTTTTGACACTTTTTAAATGGGGGTGGAGGGTGTCCAGCCGAATCACATTCCAAGATCCTCCCCTTACTAAACATTTACTGGAGCTGTTATAATATTGGCCAGACCAACACTACACATACTCAAGATAATGAAAAAAATCCCCTTTCCAACTGTAAGCCACACTGAAAACTGCGGCAAAGGCAAATATATTACCAGTGTACGCTAATGCACTCACTGACCCTTAAGCAAATTTCTGCATATATTTTCAAGAGGCTGTTTGCCTCATAAGATTCATATAATCCACCTAACCATCAGGCTTGGGAGCTGGCCCAGTAAATCTGAACACAGTTGTCTCCTGCCAATATAATTTCTCACTTTGGTTTATTAATACATCTACCCTTGTGTTTTTAAAATAAAATACTGTGGTGCCCCTGTGATTATCACTGAATTAGAAGGAACGGACATGCAGTGAGCAGACACCGGGGGATGAAATCCATCTCCGATGCTGCAACAGCGCATGCACAGGTTGCATGTGGGCACCATGGGGGCAAAGTGATTTTGGGATGTCCATCGCAATATCCAGATGAAGTGTCATGCAGCCGGGCATGCAGTAGAAACGCCAAGAGGACTCAAAGGCAATAAAGCATTAAACAGCAAACTTATGCGTGAACCCAGAAGAACTCAGAAAGTATCCTGTCTGTTCCAGGAGGATGTAACCCAGCCTCCACCATACTAACCAAGTTTTAACAGCCACCCTTCTCTGTCTGGGTTGAAGAATGTGTGTGTCAGGTCATTTCCATCATCTTCCGGGATTTTAAAAGGTTCGTTTTTGATGCTTTCATACAAATTCTGTAAAAAAAAAAAAAAGATTAATGCATTTTAAAAGAGATGTTAAAGAATCTTTTCTGCCATCCACAAGTAATGGAGATTGGTAAGCAGATCTAAATGCCTATTGCAGTTTCCCTGAGCAGCAATGGGATAGAGCATAAGGGATACGTACGTAGAGAGGGGACTCCATAGTGTTTTTAAACAAGGCAGAATATTAAATATGGTATCTAAAGGATTTCATGGGCGAGTGGAGATGTCAGGCACTGGTGCGAGAGTGAAGCCAGAGCCCCGAGAGGCGCGCCCACCCTCAGCAGCTCTTCGGGCAGGTCCCCTCCTTCGTTGATCCCGCGGTTCATGGAGATGAAGCGCTCCACCGCAGGCTTGTCCCTCACATTGGGGTTGTGCAGGCTGGTGTTGAGCATGATGATGGCGAAGGACAGGACGTAGCACGTGTCTGCAGGGCACCACACATACAGATACAGCCAAAGAGCCGTTCTGAGGATCACTTCTCCTGGGCAGGGTTTATGTTGAATTGGCCAATTTCTGGCCTATTTGGAATCGTTAATTTATAACTTCAGATGTAAAAGTCAGAGACACATGCCTGATACCCAAAATCAAAATAAATATTAAAAATACAGCTTTTAATCATGGACAGTGTATTTTAAATACATGTATTAAATATCTCCTTTCTCCTAAATGCTAACATAGCATCCCATATATAGCGTTATTTCTTTCTTTCATTCTTTCTCTTGGGCCGACTCTGTTCTGAAAGGCGCTATGTAAAAATTATAGGAATTAAACTGACCTGACATTCTTGAAATCTTTCCCTCCCTAACACTACATCTGCTACAACTTTGACACCGACTATATAATTCATAAATTGCCGGGCAGAGTGGCAGTGAAAGCAATAAATATAGTGAGGCACGTAAAGTCAGTAAATATATGGTGGCGCTGCATTAGTTGTTCAGCTGGCGCCTGCGGCCTGTAAGCCGACAGCTCTCTCCATTTCATCTGGCTGTGCTGACAGCCTGGTCTCCTCAGAGTGATCACCACACAGATTGGTCAGGTCTCAACGTGAAGGGGAAAAAAATGATAAATAAACAGCATTTCAAGCTGCATGGCTTTTCCTGCAGACCTCTTTGCAGGTTGTAATGCGCAGATTATAATTGTTAGCATTATATACTCAGGTGTATTAGCTGAGGAGGAATACAGGCAATGCTGAAAGGCATCATCTTTGTTCAACATAGGCTTCAGCGTCATAAAAGCCAAATATTTTGAATCATGATTTTAGGCGATAACATGGGATAGTAAACCCATCTCCTGCTCTGTCTTACCTGTGGACTGGAAGACCCCTGGGTTGCATTGGCAGTAACGAGAAGCAAAGGCCTCCATCATGCGGTCGATCTTCTGGGCCTCGCCTGGGAGCCTGAAGCTCCACAGGAACTGCCTGGTGGGCGGGAGGTAAGAGACAGAAGAGCGTGAGATTGGGGGAGAGAGAGGCAGCACAAAAGCCAGTGAGACGGAGAGAGGCGCTGAGATGACAGACTCAGTGAGTCAGAAGCAGCCCCATGTCTCTGAAGAGCTTACACAGGTGCTCTCAGTGGTACCCATGTCTCCCAGCAGTTCTCAGTTTTCTCCAGCAGGGGGGAGCGATAGCAACCAGCCTGCAGCCCTCAGTGTGTATCTCCACACTCAGGAAAGCTAATGGCCCTGAACTGCAATGTGAATAATGAACCAGAGCCACACATGCTCAGTGCTTAGCTATTGCCTCTCCCTTTAGCACCCATTAGAAACATACCATATTAAATGTACTTCAATAAATTTTTTGAACATTTCTGGTTACTGAACTGGTATCCATCCAGATACGTTTTATTGTCAAGCATGCTTAAATGTTCCAAAGTCATTCAAAAAAATAAAAAATCTAAAACAGAATACACTTACATAGTGGGAAATAGGACTCCAAATATTTAACCAGTAACAATTATGAAAAAACAGCAGAACACTGTGTTCCTGCCAATAAATTCAGTGTAATAAAGAGTAGACACCGAGAGGACCAAGCTCTCCAGAAGCAGATCAGGGCTGGCTTCGGACTCTCTTCAGGATTATGAAGGAAATGTTCAGCTCACCTTAAAGCTTGCACAAGGTTCAGATCTGCAAATTCGTGTAGCTCAACAAAGGCCTGGAGAACCTTAATGTTGAATTCATCCCTAAAAAAATGAGCAAAAAAAAATATTTTCGTGATTTTCAGGGAATCCAGGGAATATTAACTGTTCTCCTCAGCAGAAGTGGAGAGACCCACCTGCACCTGTACTACACAACTGCTCTGAAAAGAATGTCATACATCTCCCTTTGCAGTAATCTAGAATGCACAACCTAATAAATTCTGGAAGCAGTAAGCCACCTCTTAAAGGACATAGTCTCAGTTTTCAATGCTCAAGCATGATCGAGAGACAGCCGATGGGAATCATCTCAAACTGGAATCCACACTAAGCCTCATGTAAGATGGCCCTTGGTGAACCACTGCAGACACGAATAATGTGGATTCCGAAAGAAACACTGACAGGACATTGGATTCAGTCTAAACATTTTACCCACAGGCTGCTTCTGGATGTTGCATGTTTATTTTGATTTCATATATTCAAATTTAAAGGATAACTCTTAGACTGCAAAACAAAATTAGAATAATATTTAAATATAAAAAGAATAATATTGTTCCAGGCCACCAGAATGGTTTAAAGGAGATTAGCAGCATCTTTTATAGGTATGGTTGGTAGATATGATTCCATTCATGAATCATTTCATTAATGAGTCTAGGTTTGTGGACGCAGCATGTAGTCTGTACAATAATGAAAACAAGTTCAATTTCCTCAACATAAAATGTATTTATAACAGTAATGAAACTTGAAGCTTACCGCTCTCCTAAGTAATCCCCGATGACGGTTTTGTTTAAACCCTCCCCCTTGTAAAGGAACTGTGCGATGTCTTCCGGAGTGTTCTCTAGAAGGTCGTTTTCCAGGAGAAACTGAATTCCCTGTAATTAAAACAAAACGTGGTCTCCCATTTGTTCCGGTATTACGCTGATTAATTAGTGATATACTATTTTTACAGCATAACATAAACTTAGACACCCTAGTAGCACACTTAATAATGTGAACAGAATGATACGTGCAACAGATCCCATAGATTTTGAGATATGAACATTTTTAATGTATTTATATAATATTAATATTCCGCAAAATATTAATCGGTAAAAAATTCCTTCGTTTGACAAAGGACTTGAGATTACCCTGTATTTTTGTAGTATTCAACTGCAATTCTACCAAATGTACTGATAGAACTGAGGAGGAGTATGGATGCGCTAGTATTTACTATTTACTGCACTGCCAAAATCAAATTTCATCACAACCATTTAATTTCACACCAGAAACAGGATAACTGAAAAAAATATGAAACAATAATCATCAAAAAAACAATAAAAATCAGGAGTGAATACGTTAAAACTGCTGCACAAGGACATTATTCTGAAACCCCAAAGACGACAATAACGTTCACTTAGTAACATAAACGGAACCTCACAGCCTAAGTTAACACAGCGAATTGGCTGCTGCATAAATTATTCGTAACATCTGCCAATATCCATTTTCATTTCCTGGAGAAAGACAAAGGGCACGAAGCAGGAACGTCCTTCACATTTTCAGCAGACTCAAATGTGTGCAGTACCATGCACCTCAGGGTATGTGTGTGTAACAGACTAAGCTTTTAGCAGCCGCCTAATGCCGTTGGACACATTTTCCTGGCGCACCCAGTCTCCATTCATTCCTGTGGATGGCAGCGTCAAAGCAGAGCACTTCCAACACATACAAATGCGTCCAAGTGCTGCTTCCCTGCTGGGAAAGTTGTCTTCCACAACAATGCACGGCGCAGACTGACAGCGTGTGGTTTTAGGACATGAAGATTAGGTTATTAATTTCTCACAGCTCTTACAAGCTCTATGTGTCAGTCATCTGGAGTGTTTTTGCGCCTGAAAGGTGGGGCACCATACACAGGTGTTTCCGCTCCATTAGGCCGGGAATTTGGAGGACAGTGTCACGTTTCTGTGCTGTGGTCCCCGGCCCTTGCTGACCTCTTCATAAATCAGATCCATGCCAAACCAGCAGTATTTCTTGCCATATTACAGTCTGAGGACCGTTTTGTTGAAAGTTTACGTAACCCTTAGGCGGGTTAATTAAATGAGGGTTACTTTCTCTCTGCAGATTAAAATTGCGTGATTTTGTGAAGTCCCCGAGCAACGCTGTCTTTGAATCTTAAGTAGCATTTTGTCGCTGCCAGAAAACAGATTATGACTCAATAAAAAGCAATGGTCTATGGTGTTAAAATGCATCATGTAGTATTTTTAGAATGTCACTTTAGATTTTACTTAAATATTTAGCGACCATAACTGCAGTTCATAAACATTTCACAAGTGACATTATACCTTCAGATTTATCTGGTGTTTAATGATTATCAGTGTGTGCTGGTGACTATAAAATAGTGACATACCTTCTTGGGATCCATGTTGAATTTTTTCCTTCCCATTGCAATCTGTTTGTTCCTCTGTGATGTTTTGCTGTATCAGTGGAGATACAATTGCATTTTTCTATTTACTCAGGCAGAAATGGTCATTTGAAAAACAGGTAAACACAGGTGTTTGAAAATGCACTGTGATAATATCCCAGAGCAACTAATAAAAGTAATTTTGGTCATTTTTATTATGAGTGGAGCCAGCAGTAGTATCACATTCAAATGATACACAATAAATACATCTTAATGTTTTTAATTAGAAAAGATTTTTTTATTCCATGAGATTTCTGTCTACGAGATGTAAATCAAGACTCAACAGTGATATACAATTTACAGATCCTTTTCAATAATACTGTCAATAAAATGATCATTTCAAATGTGCAACATAAAGTTTGATGTTTTATCACTGATAAATACACACATCTGACGTACTGATTGCTTCTGGATGATATGCAGGACAAAATATCAGATATGGACAGGTTCAAGTTATTACAGGATATAACCCTGTTGTTGGTCTGATGCAGGAAAACATCCAGTTTTAGATATGGGGAAGAACAGTAACTGGTTATGAACAAAAGCAAGGTCTAAGCAACTAAACGCGATGCCCAAGTGACAGCTGGATTTTATAAGGGTTTGAGTGTAATGTGTCAGACAGGATATTAATAGTGGTCGACAAACATAGCTCTGAAACTGATAGCATTTTTAATTTATTCATCTACATATTTTTAGTTTCTGCTAATATGTGCCAGAAATGTTTTCATATTGTTCAATTCTTTTAAAAAATAAAGAAAAAAATTTATGGTATCACTTCTTCACAGTCTACATAAATGCAAATACTTTTGTTGAATACTTTTTGAAGAAGCAGTGATATTTGAAAAATTTTGAAATATTTTACCAAAAAACACATTCTAAGGGGCTCTCACAACAGAAGCCTGAATAATGGTGCACTCCATATGAACTGGCAAGTGAGAATTTCGTTCCTAATCAGAAATTTCAGCTGCAACGTCCCCTGAAGTCAGAGCTCTGCAACCCAGACCTGAGAACTGAAGATGGCCGAGCCTTCATTAACAGAAGTGGAAGCTCAAGTTATGTCCTGCTCATTAGTACTTATGTCTTATTTGTGTTTCATTAAATCGTCGTACTCACAGTACTGTCCAACCTATATTTGTGGATATGTTGTTACAATGTTTATATGNCCGTGTCCCGTCACCGTCAGAGCCCGGGCCCGTGTCCCGCCCCCTCCTGACTGTCTGCTCCAGCTCTGGCTGCCTGCATCAGTCTCCTCTCTCCTTAGATGTTACTGCTTTCCCTGAATCTTACTGACCGCACTGTACATTTTTGACACTTTTTAAATGGGGGTGGAGGGTGTCCAGCCGAATCACATTCCAAGATCCTCCCCTTACTAAACATTTACTGGAGCTGTTATAATATTGGCCAGACCAACACTACACATACTCAAGATAATGAAAAAAATCCCCTTTCCAACTGTAAGCCACACTGAAAACTGCGGCAAAGGCAAATATATTACCAGTGTACGCTAATGCACTCACTGACCCTTAAGCAAATTTCTGCATATATTTTCAAGAGGCTGTTTGCCTCATAAGATTCATATAATCCACCTAACCATCAGGCTTGGGAGCTGGCCCAGTAAATCTGAACACAGTTGTCTCCTGCCAATATAATTTCTCACTTTGGTTTATTAATACATCTACCCTTGTGTTTTTAAAATAAAATACTGTGGTGCCCCTGTGATTATCACTGAATTAGAAGGAACGGACATGCAGTGAGCAGACACCGGGGGATGAAATCCATCTCCGATGCTGCAACAGCGCATGCACAGGTTGCATGTGGGCACCATGGGGGCAAAGTGATTTTGGGATGTCCATCGCAATATCCAGATGAAGTGTCATGCAGCCGGGCATGCAGTAGAAACGCCAAGAGGACTCAAAGGCAATAAAGCATTAAACAGCAAACTTATGCGTGAACCCAGAAGAACTCAGAAAGTATCCTGTCTGTTCCAGGAGGATGTAACCCAGCCTCCACCATACTAACCAAGTTTTAACAGCCACCCTTCTCTGTCTGGGTTGAAGAATGTGTGTGTCAGGTCATTTCCATCATCTTCCGGGATTTTAAAAGGTTCGTTTTTGATGCTTTCATACAAATTCTGTAAAAAAAAAAAAAAGATTAATGCATTTTAAAAGAGATGTTAAAGAATCTTTTCTGCCATCCACAAGTAATGGAGATTGGTAAGCAGATCTAAATGCCTATTGCAGTTTCCCTGAGCAGCAATGGGATAGAGCATAAGGGATACGTACGTAGAGAGGGGACTCCATAGTGTTTTTAAACAAGGCAGAATATTTAAATATGGTATCTAAAGGATTTCATGGGCGAGTGGAGATGTCAGGCACTGGTGCGAGAGAGAAGCCAGAGCCCCGAGAGGCGCGCCCACCCTCAGCAGCTCTTCGGGCAGGTCCCCTCCTTCGTTGATCCCGCGGTTCATGGAGATGAAGCGCTCCACCGCGGGCTTGTCCCTCACATTGGGGTTGTGCAGGCTGGTGTTGAGCATGATGATGGCGAAGGACAGGACGTAGCACGTGTCTGCAGGGCACCACACATACAGATACAGCCAAAGAGCCGTTCTGAGGATCACTTCTCCTGGGCAGGGTTTATGTTGAATTGGCCAATTTCTGGCCTATTTGGAATCGTTAATTTATAACTTCAGATGTAAAAGTCAGAGACACATGCCTGATACCCAAAATCAAAATAAATATTAAAAATACAGCTTTTAATCATGGACAGTGTATTTTAAATACATGTATTAAATATCTCCTTTCTCCTAAATGCTAACATAGCATCACATATATAGCTTTATTTCTTTCTTTCATTCTTTCTCTTGGGCCGACTCTGTTCTGAAAGGCGCTATGTAAAAATTATAGGAATTAAACTGACCTGACATTCTTGAAATCTTTCCCTCCCTAACACTACATCTGCTACAACTTTGACACCGACTATATAATTCATAAATTGTCGGGCAGAGTGGCAGTGAAAGCAATAAATATAGTGAGGCACGTAAAGTCAGTAAATATATGGTGGCGCTGCATTAGTTGTTCAGCTGGCGCCTGCGGCCTGTAAGCCGACAGCTCTCTCCATTTCATCTGGCTGTGCTGACAGCCTGGTCTCCTCAGAGTGATCACCACACAGATTGGTCAGGTCTCAACGTGAAGGGGAAAAAAATGATAAATAAACAGCATTTCAAGCTGCATGGCTTTTCCTGCAGACCTCTTTGCAGGTTGTAATGCGCAGATTATAATTGTTAGCGTTATATACTCAGGTGTATTAGCTGAGGAGGAATACAGGCAATGCTGAAAGGCATCATCTTTGTTCAACATAGGCTTCAGCGTCATAAAAGCCAAATATTTTGAATCATGATTTTAGGCGATAACATGGGATAGTAAACCCATCTCCTGCTCTGTCTTACCTGTGGACTGGAAGACCCCTGGGTTGCATTGGCAGTAACGAGAAGCAAAGGCCTCCATCATGCGGTCGATCTTCTGGGCCTCGCCTGGGAGCCTGAAGCTCCACAGGAACTGCCTGGTGGGCGGGAGGTAAGAGACAGAAGAGCGTGAGATTGGGGGAGAGAGAGGCAGCACAAAAGCCAGTGAGACGGAGAGAGGCGCTGAGATGACAGACTCAGTGAGTCAGAAGCAGCCCCATGTCTCTGAAGAGCTTACACAGGTGCTCTCAGTGGTACCCATGTCTCCCAGCAGTTCTCAGTTTTCTCCAGCAGGGGGGAGCGATAGCAACCAGCCTGCAGCCCTCAGTGTGTACCTCCACACTCAGGAAAGCTAATGGCCCTGAACTGCAATGTGAATAATGAACCAGAGCCACACATGCTCAGTGCTTAGCTATTGCCTCTCCCTTTAGCACCCATTAGAAACATACCATATTAAATGTACTTCAATAAATTTTTTGAACATTTCTGGTTACTGAACTGGTATCCATCCAGATACGTTTTATTGTCAAGCATGCTTAAATGTTCCAAAGTCATTCAAAAAAATAAAAAATCTAAAACAGAATACACTTACATAGTGGGAAATAGGACTCCAAATATTTAACCAGTAACAATTATGAAAAAACAGCAGAACACTGTGTTCCTGCCAATAAATTCAGTGTAATAAAGAGTAGACACCGAGAGGACCAAGCTCTCCAGAAGCAGATCAGGGCTGGCTTCGGACTCTCTTCAGGATTATGAAGGAAATGTTCAGCTCACCTTAAAGCTTGCACAAGGTTCAGATCTGCAAATTCGTGTAGCTCAACAAAGGCCTGGAGAACCTTAATGTTGAATTCATCCCTAAAAAAATGAGCAAAAAAAAATATTTTCGTGATTTTCAGGGAATCCAGGGAATATTAACTGTTCTCCTCAGCAGAAGTGGAGAGACCCACCTGCACCTGTACTACACAACTGCTCTGAAAAGAATGTCATACATCTCCCTTTGCAGTAATCTAGAATGCACAACCTAATAAATTCTGGAAGCAGTAAGCCACCTCTTAAAGGACATAGTCTCAGTTTTCAATGCTCAAGCATGATCGAGAGACAGCCGATGGGAATCATCTCAAACTGGAATCCACACTAAGCCTCATGTAAGATGGCCCTTGGTGAACCACTGCAGACACGAATAATGTAGATTCCGAAAGAAACACTGACAGGACATTGGATTCAGTCTAAACATTTTACCCACAGGCTGCTTCTGGATGTTGCATGTTTATTTTGATTTCATATATTCAAATTTAAAGGATAACTCTTAGACTGCAAAACAAAATTAGAATAATATTTAAATATAAAAAGAATAATATTGTTCCAGGCCACCAGAATGGTTTAAAGGAGATTAGCAGCATCTTTTATAGGTATGGTTGGTAGATATGATTCCATTCATGAATCATTTCATTAATGAGTCTAGGTTTGTGGACGCAGCATGTAGTCTGTACAATAATGAAAACAAGTTCAATTTCCTCAACATACAATGTATTTCTAACAGTAATGAAACTTGAAGCTTACCGCTCTCCTAAGTAATCCCCGATGACGGTTTTGTTTAAACCCTCCCCCTTGTAAAGGAACTGTGCGATGTCTTCCGGAGTGTTCTCTAGAAGGTCGTTTTCCAGGAGAAACTGAATTCCCTGTAATTAAAACAAAACGTGGTCTCCCATTTGTTCCGGTATTACGCTGATTAATTAGTGATATACTATTTTTACAGCATAACATAAACTTAGACACCCTAGTAGTACACTTAATAATGTGAACAGAATGATACGTGCAACAGATCCCATAGATTTTGAGATATGAACATTTTTAATGTATTTATATAATATTAATATTCCGCAAAATATTAATCGGTAAAAAATTCCTTCGTTTGACAAAGGACTTGAGATTACCCTGTATTTTTGTAGTATTCAACTGCAATTCTACCAAATGTACTGATAGAACTGAGGAGGAGTATGGATGCGCTAGTATTTACTATTTACTGCACTGCCAAAATCAAATTTCATCACAACCATTTAATTTCACACCAGAAACAGGATAACTGAAAAAAATATGAAACAATAATCATCAAAAAAACAATAAAAATCAGGAGTGAATACGTTAAAACTGCTGCACAAGGACATTATTCTGAAACCCCAAAGACGACAATAACGTTCACTTAGTAACATAAACGGAACCTCACAGCCTAAGTTAACACAGCGAATTGGCTGCTGCATAAATTATTCGTAACATCTGCCAATATCCATTTTCATTTCCTGGAGAAAGACAAAGGGCACGAAGCAGGAACGTCCTTCACATTTTCAGCAGACTCAAATGTGTGCAGTACCATGCACCTCAGGGTATGTGTGTGTAACAGACTAAGCTTTTAGCAGCCGCCTAATGCCGTTGGACACATTTTCCTGGCGCACCCAGTCTCCATTCATTCCTGTGGATGGCAGCGTCAAAGCAGAGCACTTCCAACACATACAAATGCGTCCAAGTGCTGCTTCCCTGCTGGGAAAGTTGTCTTCCACAACAATGCACGGCGCAGACTGACAGCGTGTGGTTTTAGGACATGAAGATTAGGTTATTAATTTCTCACAGCTCTTACAAGCTCTATGTGTCAGTCATCTGGAGTGTTTTTGCGCCTGAAAGGTGAGGCACCCTACACAGGTGTTTCCGCTCCATTAGGCCGGGAATTTGGAGGACAGTGTCACGTTTCTGTGCTGTGGTCCCCGGCCCTTGCTGACCTCTTCATAAATCAGATCCATGCCAAACCAGCAGTATTTCTTGCCATATTACAGTCTGAGGACCGTTTTGTTGAAAGTTTACGTAACCCTTAGGCGGGTTAATTAAATGAGGGTTACTTTCTCTCTGCAGATTAAAATTGCGTGATTTTGTGAAGTCCCCGAGCAACACTGTCTTTGAATCTTAAGTAGCATTTTGTCGCTGCCAGAAAACAGATTATGACTCAATAAAAAGCAATGGTCTATGGTGTTAAAATGCATCATGTAGTATTTTTAGAAAGTCACTTTAGATTTTACTTAAATATTTAGCGACCATAACTGCAGTTCATAAACATTTCACAAGTGACATTATACCTTCAGATTTATCTGGTGTTTAATGATTATCAGTGTGTGCTGGTGACTATAAAATAGTGACATACCTTCTTGGGATCCATGTTGAATTTTTTCCTTCCCATTGCAATCTGTTTGTTCCTCTGTGATGTTTTGCTGTATCAGTGGAGATACAATTGCATTTTTCTATTTACTCAGGCAGAAATGGTCATTTGAAAAACAGGTAAACACAGGTGTTTGAAAATGCACTGTGATAATATCCCAGAGCAACTAATAAAAGTAATTTTGGTCATTTTTATTCTGAGTGGAGCCAGCAGTAGTATCACATTCAAATGATACACAATAAATACATCTTAATGTTTTTAATTAGAAAAGATTTTTTTATTCCATGAGATTTCTGTCTACGAGATGTAAATCAAGACTCAACAGTGATATACAATTTACAGATCCTTTTCAATAATACTGTCAATAAAATGATCATTTCAAATGTGCAACATAAAGTTTGATGTTTTATCACTGATAAATACACACATCTGACGTACTGATTGCTTCTGGATGATATGCAGGACAAAATATCAGATATGGACAGGTTCAAGTTATTACAGGATATAACCCTGTTGTTGGTCTGATGCAGAAAAACATCCAGTTTTAGATATGGGGAAGAACAGTAACTGGTTATGAACAAAAGCAAGGTCTAAGCACCTAAACGCGATGCCCAAGTGACAGCTGGATTTTATAAGGGTTTGAGTGTAATGTGTCAGACAGGATATTAATAGTGGTCGACAAACATAGCTCTGAAACTGATAGCATTTTTAATTTATTCATCTACATATTTTTAGTTTCTGCTAATATGTGCCAGAAATGTTTTCATATTGTTCAATTCTTTTAAAAAATAAAGAAAAAAATTTATGGTATCACTTCTTCACAGTCTACATAAATGCAAATACTTTTGTCGAATACTTTTTGAAGAAGCAGTGATATTTGAAAAATTTTGAAATATTTTACCAAAAAACACATTCTAAGGGGCTCTCACAACAGAAGCCTGAATAATGGTGCACTCCATATGAACTGGCAAGTGAGAATTTCGTTCCTAATCAGAAATTTCAGCTGTAACGTCCCCTGAAGTCAGAGCTCTGCAACCCAGACCTGAGAACTGAAGATGGCCGAGCCTTCATTAACAGAAGTGGAAGCTCAAGTTATGTCCTGCTCATTAGTACTTATGTCTTATTTGTGTTTCATTAAATCGTCGTACTCACAGTACTGTCCAACCTATATTTGTGGATATGTTGTTACAATGTTTATATGTGCAAAATACTATGTAATGCATTGTTATCAACTGATGTTGCTAACAATGGCTAAAAATGAACCTGGCTAGAACTGGTATTGCTAAATGGCTTCCCGACTTGTACTGGAACCCGGTTAGCGTCATTCCTAGCTCCCACTTCCAGCTTCTGAGATAAATGGGACGCAGCGTAACCCCACGCTTCAGGGACGATTTAGCTTCACACTGCCTACATGTAGCATCATTACTCATAACTGATGCCCTGGCAGCACAATCCAGCTGAACCGCACTCTAACGACAAAGTCAGCCTCATCAGGCGGGTACCGTGCATGTTAATGGCTCCCTGTAATTAGCACAGCCAGAGGGACTTATGCCAGACCAAAGGAAATATTAAGAGCTGGAGCTGCAATCCAAGTGGGTTACAGCTAGAATCGCTGTGTGCCTGTAAACCAAGATGAAACAAGGCTGCTTGCTAAGAGGAAATGACTCACCTCTCCCCGATGCAAGTTAATTGCTCGATTTCAGTCATGACTTCAGCAATCTCAAACTTCAGACGCTGCAAGAGATGTGCACTTTTGAACAAACTACATTTTTCCTTCCTTTTCCCGCAAAATCAGTTAAAATGTCATTATCATTAGCTTACACCACATTAAGAAAGCAAAGTAGCAGATTAAGACGTTACTTTTTAATATTCTAAATTAAGTGGCTTAGTTGCTCAGCGGTTAGCGATGCAACCTCACAGCTCTTGGGTTGGAGATCCCATTGCATTTGGATATTGAATCTTCTCCCCATGGTGTATGGCTTTTCTCCCATGGACCAAAGATGTACAGTTTGAGTAATTGGTATCTCCCAGAAGCTCATAGGGCAGTGTTTCCCAATCCGATCCTCAGGGACATACAGAGTGTCCACAGTTAAGCTCCCTACTAGCTCCCGTGAGCTATATGGACTGTCTGACAGGGAGTTCAGAGAGAGTAAAAACATGGACCGGTTACGGGTCCCCGAGGACTGACTTGGGAAACACTGGCATAGGGTGCGCCTGTGATGGACCGGCTTCCCATCTATCATGCACCACGCCTCTGCACTGCATGGCAACATGCTCCAGGCAGCCCTGATCGGCTGGAAGATGGAGGGTTTCCTTAAATATTACATTTTAACTTTAATTTTTAATTATTCAATCATTTAATTCACTAATACTGAATTTATATTATATGAAAAATACCAGGAAATTAACTCAATTACTTCCAAAATCACTACCATTTTAAAAATTCATTTGCATTGATAATTTTTCAGTATTATTACTTGTGGACAGTTAGAAAGGCATTTAACTTGTCTAAAAGAAAACCACAGTAACAGACAAGTAAAACCTGACTGGTCCTGTTCCTTTGAAATTCACTCAATGTGCAGAGGCGATTAATGTTATTCAGGCAGAAAAGCATAGAAACGACGTTAGTGACCAGTATCGTTTAACTTCAAGTACCTCAATGTCATCCAGTAGCTCCTTCTTCCTGCGTCGTATGTTGGTCAACTCATCACGTTCATCGACTGAGAGATCTTCAGGCACTGAAAGAGACATGCCTGCATTAGATACTACCAGCAACTCATTACTAAAGGCAGGAAGGGGATTAAATCCCTGAACTCAATCTCCGATCATGCTTGCACAAGTTTTAATTGCCTCAGCTTAGCAGAAATTTTCATACAGTGGGTGAAATTAAAATGAACTGTATATCATGAGAATGGCTATGTGTTACACATCAGCTGTACCTGTAGTACAGAACATTGCTTACATAAGTATAGGACATTCAGTTTAATGCAATGTTTACATGCATGAATTACATAATTCTACAGATGCTTTCAGACAGGACAACCTGCTCTACTTCCTGACCATAATCACCACATGGGCTTCTCCTGCATACTGTCAGTATGAAAATGTATCATCAATGCTCAAGGATACATAAAATACAATATCAGAAATCCTGCCTTCATGCTTTTAGTTTCAGTGTGATTTTTGCATGACATTCTGCAACCCTGATTAGTGAATGTCTTTACAATAGGTTTTGTTAGAAAATGTTTTTTCTTCCAGACAGGGTATTTTTTGGGGAACCATATTTATTAATTCGATCAAAATATTAATTGCATTTAAAATATATTGTATGTACAGCAGTCAGAAATTGCAGAGTTCGACGCTACGCGCAACACATTTTGGGCTCTTCGCGCACAAAGCAGCGATTGTTCAGCCCCACCGCACAAAGCACCCACGTAATAGAGAAAGCAGAGCGGCCACCCTCCTACACCAAGCCGAAGAGAGGGGGAAGGCGGATGCGCTGACTATAGCGTGGTGCAGCCACAATTCGCCGCTGTGTCTGCGAGTGCGTTGGCAAGTGGCTGAAGCGGTTAAGGGCTCAGCCACTGCGGGCGGTGCAGCCTAATACATTAACCATGGGCCGCGTGCGGTAAACACTGGAGCCGGTTTGTTTTAACCTTTCTGTCAGTTCGTGTTATCGCTGAACACGTCACGGGGGTCTGAAAAACACAGGGCGCTCTCAGCAATGGTAACGTTATACAGTACCGGGCATCCAATAATAAAGAGTCTGACTGAAAGGGCTCTGACGTCATTAAAAGGTTATCCTGCATGATCAAGTAATTTTAATAACAAAAATAATAAGATTGTACTCCAGAACATTTTTTGGAATAGTTGGGCTGAAATGCAAAATAAAATAGAAATCAAAATGCCAAGCAATTTCATGTGTATGTTGTGGATGTCTTAATATAATCATTTAATATGAATTTTTCTAAGAAGACGACATTTTTTAAAAACCTTATGGCTAGAATAGGTCTGTTTATTTTTTTAGGTAAAAATGAGAAATCCGAGTTGCTTTCTGAAGCAGATAGGGCATGATTTAGTAACAAACAGCCAGCAGCTCCTTCCACTGAGGCTCACTGTCTGTGAACTCAAATGGTAAATCCGACAGTATGGAGACAGCCCTTGTTTACTTGGACAAGGCCTCCGAGAGGAGCTAAACACAAACAAACCCACACAAGACTTTTTACTTGCTTGCAGTTGGAGCCCCGAGCTGACAGAGACCCAATGGCATCAGAGTCTTAATCATTTTAGGAAAAATGCTGAGACAACTTCATCTGTCATCCTTACTGAGTTTCACCAAATAGACAACTCTCTTTAAGCCTGTTATTCTCCTTGCAGATTATCTCATCATCTGATCTCCTCCCTTCGAAAGTCAGATATCAAAAGAGCACTGATGTATGGAACCAGTGTTCTCAGCGGAATTGGACTCTATCAGGTTACTTTTCCTACAGGAATTATATTCAGTCTGACGAGTTTTATGCTTTAATTGAACTCTGTCTAGCTAGCTTAGCTAGCTTTCAAACTGGATTTGAAGTCCACCAATCAAAAACACGAGAACTTAAACCAGGTCAGGAGACACTGTGCAGGTCACATGATCTGTCTCACCCATAAAGTTAGATTTCGCTCACTTTGACAGACATAGTATGTGGATCACATGGTTATCATTGCGCATGAATCACCATAAGAACACTAGACGAGCACACTGGGAGAAATATACTGAATATAAACATGATCATCCATCTAACCATCCATTCAGCCTTCAACTCCTTATCCAGGTTATGCCACATGCATCATTAATGGCAGCTGTCCAGCTGAATAGGCATTCTCTTTTAGGACTTAATTCATTGATATTCCACCCAAGCTTCACTTCAAGGAGCATCGTCCTTCTTTTTCTTCAAAATACCTTAATTGTTTATGCTTCAATATCTATTTTTAAAATTAGGAACCTGAACAAGTTAGCATTTCTATAGAGTCTATATAATTTACTGTCATGGATAGACATTTGAGTTGTGAGTGATCGCGTGGCCCAGATTAAGTTCTGTTTCAGAACAGAGTCAGTCCTAATATAGTCAATAGATTTACCTTTATATGAGTGGGATTATGCAGAACAAATTAGGGGGGAGGGGGTGGTATATTTTGAAAGGGGACGTTTTTTTGTCATTTTCTCCCACAGGGGGATGGCGCCCATAAGCACCTCATTACACCTCCAGCCCTGGTGGGTGTTAATGAGTCATTGATTTGTTTTTACTGGCAGTATCATTATGGCAGATACATTAAGAAGCTAACTTTCAAACTTTACAAAATAACAATGCAAGATGCTTACTAGTTGTTTATGCACATAAATGATAAGGTATATTAAGAGTGTTTTGTTTTGCTTTGATTCAAAATTGAAAATGCAAATAGAGCGGAGATTGTTAGCCCCGTCACTCTGTGGAGAAGTCCTCTTTTAGCATAACACAAGGTAATTCTCTTCGATTGACAGCATGGGTCTGTTACTCAGTGACCTAATCTTATCTCTAGTATGCTAGTAGTTTGAATAGTTACTACAGATTGGGGATCAATCCCTTATGAGGCTAAACCTGTTAGACCACATTTCCTCATTTATTACCATAAACCAAGCAATCTGGGGAAAAATACAGATACCAATAACTGTTACTATAAACTAATAGAGAAAGGGCATCCTGTATTTAAAGACTTGCGTGGTCTGAATGTTGAAAAGGAATTTTTCAATAGCTTCATGTGTTTTCGGTGCCTGTCTTATACAAGCATGGTTAATTTCAATTTATATTGATGAACATTTCATAGCTTATTCCTCTAGCTTTGTTTTAGAGGAACAGCTATGTGTTGAAACCTGAACTTGTTTTTAAAATAGTCAGTAATCTACCTATGTCAGCAACTGATATGTAATTAGCAAAAAAAAAAGTTTGATTACATATAGTGGAAAAGACATGGAGAAGTAAACAGATCCAGTTACTAAAGATTTACCAAACATGGCACGGATTCTCTCTGTCCCCCCTGTTCTTCTCCGACAGGTGAGGGATTTAAAGGTGCTATTTCTGATTTTCCTGCACAACATTTTGACCAGCTACCTGGTGGGTAATTTGCAATGCAAACATTCAGTTCCTTCAGACTTCAAAAAACACTCACATCCCCAGCATTCAAAATATTTCAGAGCCATCCGTAAAATTATGATTTATCTTCCATACTGGCCTGTTTTCTATGTGACGTTGCTTCAAGAAGGCATCTGCTCTGTGAGACTGCGTCTATTTCACCACGTTCTGCTGTTTTTTCTCTGTCAGGCTGTTTGGCAGGTCAGGCTGAAGCTTTGTCAGGGGGAAACTCACACTGTCTTGTTCAAAATTTCTTACAGTCTTCTGGGGGCAGTTTCTCACAGGAGTGGGATTTTCATTCATTCTCAACAGCCTCCCTAAGAGTAACACCAACAGTATTTGCTGACAATAAATACGATCATGTGAAAATGACCCACTTTTCACTCTCAAGCCATTCACTTTTCAAATCTGCCTTTGAAATGCTTGCTTTCCAGTGGAAAAGCAGAACTGCTTAATTTGTCAGAAGAACCTTCCTTTCAGGAGAGAATCAGATTACAGATTAATCAACAATGGCTGTTTTTCAGCGGTGACACTGGCTACTTTTGTCACAGATAATCAAGTCACGGAGACAGTAACATAGCTGAACTTCAGTTACACAACCACAATGTCTTTCTGAAGACATGACAGCAAACCCTTTTGTTCCATGAGAATTTCAGTACAAGCAAGACTTACTCTGTACTGTCTGATGAGAAAGTTGTACTGTGTCAAATCATAATCATATCATATAGTTCATATGGTAATTTTTCTATCAGCAAGTGGTCCTGGGACTTACATTTTCTGCAGTTTGGTGGCTGGATAAAATGTCAATAAATAATTAATCTACCTTCCATAACAATTTATCTAGTACAATGTCACGGTGATCCTAAAGCTTGTACGAAGCATATGGCACCCTGGAGAAGACTCCAATGTCAATAAATGATAACGGAATAAATGACTTCTACACCTGCCACTATTGATAATTAATGTAGATAAGAACACATTGGTGCTTATTGTTGTTTTTATAAAGACACCTGTTAACCTTCCCAGCCGCAGATCCTCAGTTCCTTGTTATCAAGTTCCCCACACAAAATGACCATGTGATGTTTTATCGCCGAGGCATGACAGGGGATGTTTTCATTGTTTATCTATAACCTCCCTGGTGGTTTGAACTGGACATCATGACAATGGCCTCCCTTATGCTGGCAGGATACCTCACACTTTCTGAAAAAACACAAAAAAAGTGGACCAAGTATACTGCATATATAACACTAAATTCCACACTGAACACACAAACTACTGCTCTGGTACATTTTCCCTCTAGATTATTTTCAAAACAGGTAATCAGATCTACGAAGGATGACCAACAATCTTACAACAATCTGGTGTGGATAGTTCAGTGTCTTGCAAAAATCAAAAACCAATCTGTATAAATAACACAGGAATACTGCAGCCATATACTGATCACATCTGTCTGGGTGAAATTGATCACTATAAGCGCATAATAATTTTAACCGTTTTTTTTTCTTCTTTATGTCACAGGCAGATTTCCAACTAACTGACATTTGTATATTTATTACATGAATATAAGGTAATTGAATAGACAACATCAA